GATCGTCTATCGAAGTAGGGACTCAGTAGGGATGTTGAATATCAATCTCATGCGGCCATTACTGAAAAAAAAAAAATCCTTAAAGTCGTTATAATTTCAAAAATTACGTGATACTAGAGAATCCAAAACTGATAAATTTAGATCCCGGATCTTATCTCTAATTAGTTAGGATAACGTTACAGCCTAATAAAGTTAGTTAATCTATACAGACTAGTGTATTTTATAGCTTACATCCCCAAAATTATTACATGAAATGTTGTCTAACAACCATGAAATTTTCATGAAATTGAAATTAGCTCTCGATCCTCGTGAAGAGGTCCAACTTAAGCTTGTGGCTGGCACTCACGCTAAGGCTGAAGTCCTAAAACTTTCGGCATGTAAAGCAGCCAGCTCAGTTCCACTAGAAAGATAGCATGACAGGGCCCCCGCTCGATGCTTTCAGCAGGCCCATGAGATCCGCCCTCTTCTGTTCCGGCTTCTTGATGTATACAAAGCTCTGGAGTGCATAAGTTGGACTGTCTTGGGATTGTTATTTGGGACACCTTCTTTCCCAGTGTACGCGGCCGGAGTGAAATCTCGGAGATCGGGATGGGTCCACCCCTATTTTTACGGAACCACCCGGTGGGTGCGAGCTTTATTGATACAGGACCCTCCCGCCGCCGAGAACGGAGAATATAGTCGGCACTGGAGAGTCCGACCACCGACCACCGACCACAGAGGTATCCCAAGAGAGTAGTGTCCTTGATGGATATTATGATCAAGAGTGAGTGGGGAATTATCTTCGCTATTAGAGCGGCTTTGTGAAGTGAACTCCGGATAGATTATGTAACTATGAAGAAATGTATATTATGTTCTATCTATATAAACAGTCTTCACGATGTTAATGGATGTTGACTCTCGTGGTAGTACCTTTTATGCCTCGTTCACCATCTGCTGCTGTATAATGTCTTTCCCTTACAAGAAAGTTCTCCTGATTGGAGCTACCTCAGGTACATCTCCTTGTCAGTCACCAAAAAGGGAAGTAACTGGCGCTGATACAGCCACAGGCATTGGCCGCGATTTAGCTACCAGCTTCATCCAGCATGACCGTTTCGTGATTGCAGTTGGTCGGAGACAAGAAAAACTGAATGCATTTGTCCAGGAACACGGTGCAGACAAGGCTGCAGCATTCCAGCTGGACACCAGCCAGCTGGATAAGATTCCACTTTTTGTGAAGCAGTGCGTCAAGCTTCTCGCGATTAACCCATGCCTTAGTCTTTTATGTTGACGGTTTTGGATTCGGACAGAGTGACCCAACGCCATCCGGACCTGGACTGTTTTTTCGTCAACTCTGGCATCCAGCGACGATCTGTCTTTAGCGAGCCAGAGGCGATTAACATGGCAGTGATTGCGGAGGAGATGAATGTACGCCACGATTCCCAATACCTTTAAAGAAGGCCGGGGTGTAGTTTGGTTGCTAACATTCAATCTACAGGTGAATTACATCTCCTACGTTGCCTTGACAAAAGACTTTCCACCGTTTTTCCAGAGCAAGAAGGATACTCCAACATCGTTTATATAGTATGTAATTTCCCCACATGCAGGATATACTAGAGATTCGTCTCGCTAACTGCGTGTCTTCCAAAAGCACATCATCTAATCTAGCCCTCGTCCCTATCCTGCGATGCTCCAACTACTGCGCCTCTAAGGCGGCCCTGCACCACTGGATTCTCTGCCTACGGGAACAGCTAAAGGAAACAAATATCAGGGTCGTCGAAGTCTTTCCGCCTATTGTTGAGAGCAATAGCCCCTTTTCCTGCCACGAAGACATAAGATAGAGACTAAATTTTGAATCACAGCTGAATTACATGATCCAAAGCATCAACCCGATATGGCGGAAACAGTCAAGGGGCGTTTTGGAATACCTGTGGGGCAGTTCACCAAGGAAGAAAGTTTCTCCTCGTTTCTCATATGCACCTGCGCGGCTGATCTGGTTGTATAGGCCATGGAAAAGCTCTTTACAGGCAGCGATCAAATTCCAGTTGGTCTGTCAAACATCGCATTCAATATCTGGGAGCAGCAGCGGCAGCAGGCCTTTTTCCACGTTGTTGAGATGATGAAGAAAAGTGGTGCATCCTAGATAGCAGTGCATATAACAGCTGCCGAAATATACATGCACCTTCAGTTCAGTGGCTTACTTACATTATATATTCTAGCCATTATGAACTGCAGCATGCTCACCTGATCTCTGGGCAGCATCAGTCCACTACTATTATCTTCAGTCACTGTTCGAACATGATGATTAGAGGACTGTTCCAGAGTCATAAAAATCAATATGAGATATATATATAAGCTAGTACAGACATGCTATGTAATCAAGATTAACCAATAACATAGACCACTCTCGTGCGGCTCATCTATTGATTCTATACAAGGGTTACAATTTTGATTTGATACTTCTCAACCATTTAAAAAGTCTAAGGCTTTGATCTATGTACATAGTCTATATTAATAATGAATTCCTCTATAGTAAATTTTTTTTGTCTTCTTTTTTTGTTTTTTTGCGGATTTTCATAGCTACATACAATAACTAGTAAAATAAAATACCCCTATTTTACTTGTATTACAAGATAATCTATATATTTGATATAGATAAAAGGCTGAAATTCCTTTGAGTCATGCCAATATATTCATCTTCTTATTACAGATCTCTATGAAAATAATAAGCTCACTATCAAAACCCATTTCTCAAAAGGCTGATTAATCAGAATTAATCATTATCCCGGATCCCAATAGTAGTCTGCTTCAATGCTATGACCCCCTCTGGTATAGATTTATTGACCTCGCTCCATTTATGTGTCTCTTTCATTCGCACTGTCCCTTTTGTAGAAACCTGGTTGCCCTTATCACACTGCGAAACGGCCTGAATGGGCATGAGATCATGAGCACTAATTATAACGTGGATGCCCGTGCCCGCGTTCCGTAGACAATAGACCAATAAAACACAGGCGAAAGTTTCCATCATACATTTACACTTTAAACCTCAGCTTAGACAGACTCGGAAGGGAGATGTAGATGTGCATAGGATTATAAATGACGCGGATTACATATGGCCCTCGCAACGTACTGGTTTCATTTCACTAAGCAGAAGCCCTCGTCTGCCTACAGTGTTGAGTGCTTGGGAGTCGGGGGGGCAGAGGGGGGGCCCCCCGCTGTACGGGAGCACAGGGATCAAGACTATGTATCAGTGTGCCTCGGGGATTTATTGCTGCTGGGAAAGTTTGTGAACGAGTAAATTTTATCCAATTATGGCTTCTCTCATTTGAAAAGGAGGAAGCTATGACAGTGTAAAGTCAAGGAACATGATAGACAGGAGGGGTTCTTAATCGCTGTATATTGTATAATCGCCAACTACAAGTATCGCCAGAGAGACTGGGGAAGAAGAGAGCAATTTGCAATGGGAGTGAGGTATTTTTGCGCGGCACGTTCATATCATGCAACTTGATATGAGTTCGAGATGCTGTCGGGCCTTGGTCGCAGGAGTGCGGAAGATATAATTGTTGGAGACTATTGCGCCATAACACTACCATCATCTCCACTTTTGACTAGTTAGTTACTGATGACTGATTACTCAGCCAACATCTCGGCAGGTGTTTATACCCTGTGGGTCATACTAAGTAGATCACTGGAGGGAGATAAGAGTTAGCGCAGAAGGTACCTGCTAAGGGGTGAGGTGATTACAGCGGCAAATGGGATCATACTTGGCGTGCTGCGAATTTGATTCGAATATTTAGATCCCAATTTGCCCCGCGTTCACAAAATACAGGAACGTGCATTCACGATGACAAGGGATACTGAGGCCAATTCCTGGCAAGAGCAGGATATAGTCAAGCCTCTCAAATCATGGAAAGGCTACATTTGGGACACATGGGAACTACCCAGCGATCAGCGTTGGTTATTGTTTAAGCTCGACGCGTTCGTGCTAACATTTGCATCTGTGTGCCAATAGCTCACTTTCCCAAAGGGAGTCAATACAATTTGCTGACAGCCACAGATTGGTTATTTTCTCAAAAACCTGGACCTACAAAATGTTACAAATGCCTACCTTAGTGGCATGGAGGAGGATCTGGGGATGTTTGGCAACCAGCTGGTGACAAGCACCTCTATATTCACAGTTGGCTATGTTGTTGGCCAGATCCCCGCGAACTTATTGTTGACTCGCATCTCGCCTCGATGGGTGATTCCGTCGGTAGGCAGTTCATTTCCTATGCATATCTTGATGTCAGCATTCAGTGGAGACTAATACTTGCGCAGCTCGAGGTTGGTTGGGGAATTGCAACTATGTGCATGTCAAGTGTACGGTCATACAAAGCTCTCTATGCTCTTCGTTTTCTGGTAGGCCTTTTTGAGTACGTGGGAAACTCCTCTTCTTATCATTCTATTCGCCGCAGCCTAATCTTGGAAATAGATCTGGGTTTTACCCCGGCATTCATTATCTTCTAGGATCATGGTATACACCACAAGAGATTGGCAAGCGCGCAATGATATTCTGGCTTGCTGGCCACATTGGAAATTTATTCAGTGGTTTTCTTCAAGCAGCTGCTTATACGAACTTGAACGGTGTTGATGGCCGCGCCGGTTGGCGATGGCTGTTCATTATCGATGGCATCATCACGCTACCCCTCGCCCTAGCCGGCTATCTCTTCTTCCCCAACCTTCCACAGAATGGTAAGAAGACTTGGTGGATAACTAACGAGGAACACATTCTCTCTGTCAACCGAATGCGGGCTATTGGACGTGCTGGAAAGGAGCCTTGGAGTATGGCTAAGTTGAAAAGAATCTTGAGAAGCTGGCATACATATCTACTCCGTACGTGGTCCACTATCATCATCGACTTCGGTCAATTATCTAATCAGCCGATCCAGCCATGATATACATTTTGTGGAACAATGGATACCCACAGGTCGGTATGGGTTACTGGCTGAAAAGTTTCAACGCAGACCCTCCTCCTGTCCCGGGCAAGTCATACACGGTGGCTGACATTAACAACTGTGAGTCTATTCAAAACAATATGCCATGTGACTCTAATGAGTTTAGTACCATTGGTAACGACCGGTATCTCTATCTTCGTGTGCTTCGTTTGGGGTTTGCTCTCTGATGGTCCCTGTCGTGGATCGCGCTGGCCCTTTATCCATATCGGTGCCGTCATCACGGTAGGTACTTCCAACCCTTATACCCAGATAGACTCGGCTGTAACATTTTCAAGCTCATTATGTGTGTGCTACTACGCCAAATGCCTCTCTATACCAACATTCCTGGACGCATGGCCGTATATTGGCTCAGTAATATCGGAGTAGGTTAAAGTTACAACCCGCCAAGAAGTGTATTTTCAACTAATACTTACTCTTAGGTTGGTGCTGGTCCGCTCATTTTGAGCTGGATTAACGAAATTTGCTCAACTGACACCGAGAAAAGAGCTTTGGTTGTCGCCATGGCTAATGATCTTGCCTACGTTGTTCAGGCAGTGGTGAGCCTCCTTCCACCCGATGATAATATAAACCAAAAGTTCTCATGATTTACTCTGAACAGGCACCGAACTTCGTATGGAAAACCACAGATTTCCCTGCTGCCAAGAAAGGCTATCTTTGGTCCATCATATTGCAGGTCTTACTCAGTGAGTGTTGTGCATCCCGGTATTGTTTTAAAACAGCAGAAGATAGCGACTAACTCAACCCTCCAGTGGTTGTTACTGCGACAGTTCAATTCCTGCTTTGGTTGGATAGGAAAAGGGAAACCCAAAGCCACGAGACGGTAGAGCCGATGGCGGATTCAGATGCAGACTCGGGGCCAGGAAGCTCTGACCATGGCTCGGTGGATGCGAAAATCCCCCAAACCCAAATCACACCGACGGTGTCGATGTAGTGTATCTTAGAGTATATTTGGACTCCAGAAATTCTACATTAACAGAATTCGAACGACTGCGGATAATAAAGAGGCTGAAAGCTTTTACAGGTCGATGGAGGTAGATGCGATGAGAAGAAAAAATAAATGTAAACCACGGCCGCGCTGTCCGTAATGAAATACTATACGAAATATATATATTTAAAAGTTACTATATCTCAATAGATATATATATATTTTGTAAGTCTATAATATTTTATCAAGGGAATAATGGTTATAAGCTCACTATTAGAATAGTATATAAGTTGGAAATAAAGCCTTAAAGAGTTTAAAAGGATGAGATATCTGAAAAGAAAAAAAATTGATTTTATATGGCATAATCCGATGTACCGCTTGACCGTATGGGCCGCGCGATCGTGGTTTACGTTAAAATCCGGCATTCTAATAGTATTCTACTAGATTGTCATTACTCCTGTAGTATAGATATTCCAGCCAGACAATAACTTTAACACAAAGTACTAAACACCTAAAACAAGGTATCCACCAACACCCAGTGGTAGTCCTTTAGCGTTAGAGTCGGGAAGGATGTCATCCATATTGGGCCACGGGATTTTACATTCCGCGGAAGGACACAAGACCTACTCCTCTAAGTGGGGTCTCTTAACTTCCCGCAAATGAATTCTGGGGTAAGGAAGATTGGCAGTTTGACAAACACCCACGATGGGATTTCATAAGCGAGGTTCATATCTTCCAGCCACGAGTGGTATGGCCAAGGCATAATGCGGGGTCCCCGGATTTCTGGAATAACTTTGACATTATATAAAATGCATTGACATCCTTGGCTCAATCTGATCAACATCACACTTTGCCAGCAGCTGCCGCCGACCCATAGTATCATGCTTCGTGGAAAGTCGCTGCACCTCGCACAGGTGCTTCTCACGGTAGCTCCTGCATTCATTACCTACGGATACAATCAGGCTGGAGTAGCACCGCTTGCGAACCTACAGTCATGGTAATCCATCTCGTTAAAATAAATGACTGAAATACTTTCTTGGGCTGATGAGACTTATAGGGTCACCCATTTCCCGGAAATTGACACACTCAACACCGATGGTGCCATCAAGAAGAGAAACTCGACAAGAAAAGGCGCGGTCATTGCCTCATATCAACTGGGGGCCCTTCTGGGAGCGCTCTCATGCGCCCACTTCGGTGACCGTTTCGGCCGGCGCAGGACAGTTTTCATGGCGACTATTATTACACTCATTGGAGAGGTGCTCCAAACATCTTCTTACGGCATCATTCAGTTCACTCTGGGTCGAGTCATCCTTGGCATCGGGGTCGGGCAACTGAGCGCTACCGTACCGGTATGGCAGGCCGAATGCAGTTCTGCAAAGCATCGTGGGCAGCATGTGGTAGTCGATGGGATTTGTATGGTCCTTGGCTTCGTCATCACAAACTGGGTTGCCTACGGGTTCGGGAAAACGGCCGGTGAAACGCAGTGGCGTGTCCCCTTGGCCTTGGCTCTTGTCTTTCCCCTGATCATCCTCGCATCCGTATTTATGCTCCCCGAATCACCACGATGGCTGGTTCTGGTGTCTAAAAGGGACAAAGCAGCGCACAGTCTAGCGGCGTACAGAGGTCTCCCGGTCAACGACGATGCGGTTCAAAGAGAAATTGCGAGCATAGAGTCATCGCTGGAGCTCACAGCACAGTCAAAGAACATCACATTACGAGAATTATTTATGGGCGATGATAAGGAACGTCTCCTGTACCGATTCGCTCTCTGTCTTGTTATCCAATTTTTCCAGCAAATGTGCGGGGGCAATTTGATCTCCACCTACATTTCAACGATATTTGAGGAGAATCTGAACCTCAGTGAGGAGTTGTCCCGGATCTTAGGTGCCAGCGCACTTACATGGAAATTTATATGCAACTTTATTCCATTTTTTGCAATCGACCGCTTTGGCAGACGGAAGGTGTTCATGTTCAGTGGGGCCGGAATGTGTCTTTGCATGATAGTCTTAACTATCACGACCAAGTTTGCTGATGCCAGTCGGGGACTATCAATTGTCTCTGTGGTGTTTATTTGGCTCTTCAACATGTTCTATCCCATTGGGTTCTCTGGTGCAAACTTTCTCTATTGTACTGAAATTGCTCCTATGCGTCTGCGTGTGGCGATGTCGTCTGCGTCAACCGCAAACAAGTGGCTGTGGAACTTTATCGTCGTTATGATAACCCCTGTCGCGCTTGATACAATTGGGTGGAGATACTACATTGTATATGCTGTCATTTCTGCCTGCATTCCTGTCACAGTGTATCTCTTCTACCCAGAGACAATGGGCCGCAACCTAGAAGCCTTGAACGAGGTGTTCCACGATGCCCCGTCCGCGTGGCATATCGTGGCGATGGCGAGAAGACTTCCACAGGGAGATGTGACGGAGTTGAACGGGCAGATGGAGGAGGACAAGGTAATCGTGGAGCAGAAGGAGCACGCTTGAACTTTTTCTCATCGCTATTGTTTGCGCTTTTTCCGTTCCCTTTGTTTTCATTGCAAATTTCCTGTTTCTCGATACCGAAAAATGCATGACCATTTTGTGAAAGAACCCTCTGGATTGGCCATACAAATACACTCCTGTTATAATTCGCGCAGGAAGCCGGAATGCCGGAGAAAGTGCGAAGTACTCAAGCTACAAATTCGTCAAGTACGACTTGACAAGTCATATAATATGACGTCTTTATACTGTCAAGGTAACTAGGGTCTGGCTTAAGATAGAAAGCAAAGGCGTACAGGTATACAAAGGAAGGAAAAGCTATCCTGTAGAACTGAGTTACATGGACTCCTAGAACGCGGCATAGTATGGCCTTCTAGTGTCGTCATCATCGAATCTGATATTGCGTGTCCATTGGGGCAATCGCCCTCATATCCCCTACGTTAACATACCGTACCAACGATCAGCCAGCCGTGCAGGGCGCGAGATCTCGGATTTCCTAACCATCTGACCAATATAGTGCCAAGATGCCCGGCCTTACTGACTTCTGTTGCCCCCTTGTCCACCTGCGGTCGCAGCGGCGTGGTCCGTTCCGCGGAAGTTAATAAACGCTATAGCTATTCCACTAGGCAGTGTAGGTGGTGGGTGGAGTGGGTGGATCGTTGTGTTGACTGACGGACGGGACACCAGATGCCGCGGAAGAGTACTCAAGAGAATGACATTGGTGAGCGGCTATTTTTTCACCACCAGATCTTCGTATCCCTGGAGCCAGTCATGATTATATAACTACTACTCATATCATAAATCTTAGTCCATGGAAGCTGACGGTATAGCACAACAGCAAAATCCGGCATTTGAGAAAGCAAAACACTACATTTATATCAACCTGATTGCTGGTAACAGAGTATTGTGTTCATGCGAAAGACCCTACAGCTCAACCTCTAGCCAATCATGACACAAACATACTCAGTCACCCGGGCTGAGCCATTTACCGTCCTACCGATAACAACAAAGTACAGGTCCAACGAATCGGTTCGGAAATCCCTCCCGGCGGTATGGATGCGCGCTGGCACATCCAAGGGCCTATTCCTCCATCGCCGCCATCTCCCCGCGTCAAAAACGCTCTGGGAACCGATTTTGCTATCTGCCATGGGCTCTAGTAAGGGAAGTTCTCGGCAGATTGACGGGGTGGGCGGTGCATCTTCGACAACGTCCAAGGTCGCCATCGTAGAACGGTCGAATCGACCCGGTGTCGATGTCGAGTATACGTTTGTGCAGGTGGCACCGGATCAGCCACGGATCGATGTGACCGGGAATTGTGGCAACATCGCCTCGGGGGTGGGGCCTTTTGCACTGGATGAGGGCCTTGTTAACATCCCTGAGGGGGAAAAAGAGGTTGGTTTTCTTTCCTATTTTCAGTGGGACGACGTATGGGAAACTAGACTGATTGAGCCCCAGGTCAATATCAAGATTCTCAACACCAATACCGGACAACATATCTTTGAAACAGTCCAGGTCGCCACTGACGGCTCATTTCGAGAGGATGGCGACTATGCGATTCCAGGCGTTGAAGGTACAGCTAGCCCTATCAGAGTTGCATTCCTCAAGCCGTGCGGTAGTATGACGGGCCAGATGTTTCCGAGCGGAATGCATCAAGAGATGCTAACGGTGCAATCCCGGGGATTTGGAACACTTGCCGTGCGAGTTAGCCTTGTTGACGCTGCCAATCCGTTTGTGTTTGTTGATGCAGCGTCCTTGCCAGTAGAAGCCTCGTCCAGTATCGCGGATGCTGCGGATCCAGTCTTCCTGGGGCTGATCGAGGATATTCGGAGGCATGGCGCCGTGCGGTTTGGCCTTGCTGAGAATGTGCAGGCTGCGGGTCAGGTTCGCGGTACCCCGAAGATTGCCATTTTGTCTCCCGCAACGGGTGACGTGGATGGCGTGGACATTGAGGTGAAGGCGTTCAGTATGGGGAAACCCCATGCGAGTCTGCAGTTGACGGGGGCGGTGTGTCTCGGTGCGGCGACGATCATACATGGCACCATCGCTTGGGACTTGGCCCATGCGAAGGAAGGAAAAGAGATGCCAAAGCATGGAATGTCGCTGGGAGACCACCAGATTGCAGGTGCTGTGCCGGTCGGCATCCGCCATCCGGCCGGGGTCATCCATACGGAGACGGTCCTGGGGATGGACAGGCATGGCGCGATCGACGTTGACCGGGTGGCGGTTTATCGGACGGCTCGACGGCTTTTCGAGGGCCGTGTGTTTTATAGACCTTAGATGGAGTGGTTTCCTGGGTTCACTGGACATAGAGCAAACTATGACCGGCCCAATATAGAATACATGGAGGAAGCTGCCAATACCGGATGCAGGGCGTTCCGATCGATTCGTCACACTTGTTGTTTGGCATTGAGTAGATACAACTTAATTGTCCGTGAATGCATTATCCTGCGGAGAACCGTTGAAGCCAAACAGCATATCGTCGAACCTGGGATAAGAGTACGTCTCCTCATACTGGCCTACTACGGGAGCTATAGGAGCCGGATTGGTCGAATGAGGTACCGTAGGTCCAAAAGAGAAATCCATGGGTTCGCGCATCTGTCCGTCTGCGGGCCTAGGCTGTGTTCCCATGAAGCTTTGAATAACCATTTCAATGTCCAGCTCGGACGGTTCAATGTCCGGCAGAGATTCGTGATTGATCCCAGGCGCCGGTCCCAACGGTCCTTCGGCTGAGATAGTTAAAGGGTCTGATCGGGCTTCTATACGGCTCGGACTGTCGTCGACCACAGTCGTGCAATCATCTAAACGAACACCCATGCGATCCATGAGGTGTAAGATCACATTGTGAGCTCGTCGCACCGCCCAATTTGTCTCTTGATTCTTCTTAAATATGTCGAGGCAGCTCTGGAGGCTGGTGTGAGCCCGACTGACACGCTCTCGTTGGGCCGCGACTCGAACGAAGATTGTCGCTGCTACGTATGTGGCGTATGAAATCAGATACGGTGCTCGCCGGATAGAAAAGGTGTTATCGTAGGCCTGTAGTAATTGGGTGATGCTGGAGGCGGCCGTGGTGCAGGTGGTAAAGGAGCTCTTGGCCACCGATGGATCGGCAGTGTAAAGATGTCCCTCGGAAACAAACGGTCGGTGAAGCAGGATAACCAAGACATTGTACAGAGCGAGTAATGAGAGAACATGTGGAGGCGGCACCACCCCCACGGGACTGTTGTAGCGCAGGTGATCTGGAAGGCTTTCGTACCAGGTTTTCAACTGCCCATCGAGTCTGTTTAGAGTAGCGATGAGGTCGTGAGGCGACCGATTGGAACTTCTCTCCGAATAAACTTTGTTCAGGATCTCATTCAAGACCAGCGACAGTTTACACAGCCATGTGAATGTCGACACGCTATATGCTGGGGATCCAGGGTATGATTTCACATCGGAATACGCAAAGGGTTGCCAGGGCTCCAGCTCCTCATAGCGGTCCATGAAGGACAGCAGGACTTTGGTATCAAAGCTTTGGAGACTAGCCGGTCGCCCCTGGTATAATGATTGGATCTTGTCAACCACAAAGGCACCCCAGAATACACGCCGTCGGATTTCCAGGTCTTCTGGCGAGAGTCGGCGCATGTTGGGGAGCATCGTGGCGTCCACGTGCATGCCGAGATCGATGATCATCCGAAAAGCCGTCCCAGCATATAGCCAGGCGGCGCTACGTTCATCTCCCAGCGCGAAGAGAGAGCTCGTCATGACTAGGAGTGCCTGGATGGTGGTGATCTCACTCCGATCCAAGGCACTCCCCAGCAGCTCCCTCACCCTCATGCGAAAGGTCCACCCAGCCGTGCGGGCATCATCCGGGTCTCTACGTACCTCGGGACGATTACTGAACTTGGACGCCCCAAAGTATATCGCATTCAGGAGTAGCTTGGAGAAATAAGGCCCGTTGGTGGCCATATCACGCATGAAGCTCGGGCGATGCGTTATTAGGAAGGAGTGGTGCTGGCGGTTCCAATGCAGGGACAACAGATGCATCCCCAGCTCAGGATCTACGCCATCAAAGTCCAACTTCCCTTGCTGGAAGTTCAATGTTTCCAGCTGCCCTTTGTCATCGCAATGTTAGAGTCTGCAATCGGTTTCTGTAACGGGGGGAAGGCACAGCGACTCACTTTGATAAGCGGCCTCTCCCATCAGTTGTTGCTGAATGGGCTCCACGGGACCGGCGCGATTGGCCAGTTGGGCTGAGCCATGGCCCCCGACGGGGGCGCCGTCAAAAAGGGTACTGGTGAGGCCATGGTAGCTGGAGTCTCCGTTGGCGGAGACAAAGATGCCGGATACGACCGACTGCGGGTGGTCCATCTTGGTGGATTCCGACTGTTGGTGGAGATCTCCATCAGGGGTTGCCTGCTCTCCATGCACCGGCCCGGCACTTCCCTCGCCGAGTCGCTGCCGAAGTTGCTCATTTTCTGTCACCAAGTGAGCGATCCAGGCTTTGGATGGCCTAGGTGGGTCAGGTAATCAGCCTCTTCTCCCGACGGGCGAAATTTCACGCACCTGGGCCTTGAGGGGTTGGTCATGTACACGCATTCCTTGCCGTAACCCTGACAGTTGGAGCACGTTGGCTTTTCGTCGCAGCGCAACTATAGCGGCCGTGAGCGGAATGGCACGGTCGGGGGTGGCGCGCGTGGGTGGATCAGTGGATCTCACTCACCTTCCTCCGGCGACAGAAGCTGCATGCCTTGGCCGCTCTGCGAGAACGGGACGGGAACATACCTTCCATGGCTTCATAGAAACTCCGGGGAGAGGAGGGGACATGGTGAGGGGGAAAAAAGATGGAAGATGGAAGATATACCCGGTTTCGCGCGGAAGGACGGGACCCGCGGCAATTCATCCTCCGTCGGCAAATCCCGCTCTCTGTTAGTAGAAATTGGGTATTTTGGTGTTAAGTGAGCACCTTATTATCACTAGTATTTGATGAAGGCGATTGGGCTACTCAACGGCTACATATTGTTGCACTATCGCAACTGAGTATTATTATCATGGCTACCCTTGCCTCCTCAACAAAACCGCAAAAGGTCGGCTCTCCTCCCTTCAACGACTGGGAAGGGCGTTAGACGGTTAACTGGTTCGCAGCAATACACTCCGCAGTGGGTCTCTCTGATAGCCGGCGGAGTGGCTGGGGGCGTGGAAGCTGCGTCCACGGTAAGTACTATTAATTTCTTTGGCCTTGCAGCATGTCAGATTCCAGGACTGAGAAAATGATGACTAGTACCCGTTTGAATATGCAAAGACCCGCGTACAACTTTTGAGAACCAGCAAATCGACCCCCTCCAACCCGCTGCGACTCATCTTTACCGTTGCACAACAAGAAGGCGTCGGTGCTTTGTATACCGGATGTTCCACGCTGATCATTGTGCGTACTGAATCAATCATATGGCTAAGGGTTAGGGTCTAATCGCTCGCAGGGAACGACGGCCAAGGCGGCCGTGCGATTTGTTTCATACGACACCATTAAAAACGCCCTCTCTGATGAGCGTGGATCGCTCTCCCCAGCACGAGGCATTGTGGCCGGCGTCGTCGCAGGGGCTACTGAAAGCGTCCTGGCCGTGACGCCTACAGAAAGAATCAAAACAGCATTGTTTGTGCCTTGTTTTCCATACAACCTCCGAAAGCCGTTCTAACTGATTGATAAAGGATCGACGATGCTAAAAACGCCAGGCAGTTCCGATCGAGTCTGCACGCCACGCAGGTTTTAGTAAGAACCCACGGTTTGCGCGAGCTGTACCGGGGTCTTGTGTCCACCACACTGAAACAGTCAGCCACATCAGCTGTAAGAATGGGCACGTACAATATCCTCAAGGAATCCTTCAAGGCACACGACATTCCGCCGACTCTTTTCACTACCTTTTGCATGGGTGCCCTGGCGGGAGTTGTCACGGTGTACGCGACACAGCCTTTTGACACGATCAAAACGCGGGCGCAAGGGGTCCAGGGGGCAGGGCTGGTCGAGGCCATCCGTAACATACAGAGTGACTATGGAGTTCGGGGGTTCTGGAAGGGTAGTTCAATGCGACTGGGCAGGCTGCTCTTGAGTGGCGGAATTGTCTTTTCGGTGTACGAGAAAATGACGTATCTGCTGCATTCGAGGGCTGGGGTTGAATGAATGTTTCGCTTTCCCTCGATTGATTAGAACCATTTTGGACATATCATAATCACATAGATCTCTAGAATCAACATGAATTGGGAGTTTTCCGTCGCAAAATCAGTGTCCTCTCTGTTCGAGATCTTTAAAATGCTTTTGCAAATTTGTGACTCCCTAGGTGTCGCAATGATAAATTCAGGTCCTCTCGAGGCGTTAATAAATTATATTGTCTTTCGGGCATGCCCACTTCATTCTATCCAACTATGAATAAGTGATCTCAAAAGTGCCATCTTGCTTATGCTCTACATTTGCGAGCAGAGCCCCATCTGTATTCAGGAACCGAAGCAGGCCCGCATGCTGGATTGCCTTGGTGAAATCTACTATCTCACCTTCCTCGGCGTCATACGCGCACACCCACAATTGAATTACGGGAGCCATTATGACGAATTTGACTGCATTCGTATCGCTGGGGGCCGGAAACTATCTCTAAATCAGTTATATCTTACCATGGGACGACAAGGGGACGGAGACACCTACATAGGCAAAAGGCCTCTTACCCACACTATTATCAGGCAATCTGTTCCCCTTGGCCATTCCAAACACGATGTGTTATCATTTGATGGAGAAAGGTCACCACTGAAATCAAACCGGACCATGTCCATCGGTGCTGTTTTTTCTTTTTCAGTCATTACCGGGTTGCCCTTTTCGTTTTTGGTCAGGCCGAATGTACCTGCATTCCCCTCATTTCGTCAGTAGTCATGCCATTTACACCTTTCAGATTTTGACAACTCTTATAAAGCAATGATGATTGGGTATACATACTCGCAGGCGTCGTGGGAGTACCGGGATCAGCGTCTCTCACATCCACCGACGTGACCTTCACCCCGAAATTGGGCTTCTGAGCGGTAGTTCCAACCCCTTGGCTAGGCTTAATTTCTTGTCTCGGATGGGAAGAGTTAGAATGGGTAGAGTGTGTCACGCACATCCGTACAGTTGATACGTGGTTGATGTGTCCCACGTCTGTCCGGCCTCGAGTTCCTTTGCGTGTCTGGGAATGTCATCATGGGCGGACCCGGAATAATGGCATATTTCTGTTTGCGACCGAAGTGGTTGACGACGTGGATGGTATGATCGGGCATGTTTCCGGGCGATTGATTGGAAAGATCTGGGAGGCAGGACTACTCTGGGAGGCAGGCAAGAAGGTGGTAGTTGTGGGGGATGCTTAAGTATTCCTTCATGTGGCATCTTTAATCTACTTTCATGGGCAAGGTGTGGCAGCCATGATTCATGAATGCCGTGAACGGTAGTCTCATTTAATATGGAGGTAGCATTGGGTGTTCTAACATAAGAAGCACATGAAATCATCCATTACACTTACATTTACTATTGTTTCATTACAATAGATTGGTTTCCTCAAGCTCTGAATGCGGCTCTGCAGATCATGAGGGAGACCAGATGACTAGGTAGTGATAAACTTTATACTTATCCATCTTGTCTTTATTTCGACCATTCATCTTGTTACATTTGAGAAAATTGAATAACATCGAAATAGCATCCCGTTCACCTACATGTGTTACACCATATGGACACGCTCTATAGCCAAAGACAAGAATCGACAGAGTCAGACCCAGCTTATTCAATTTAGAGGGCATCATGAACATCATCAGAGTGTCTTCGGTCACCACATATTGGTGCCTTATTGATGCCTCAGGGCATACACAACATTGCCTTCCGATGCAGAGGGCCCAATACGAGCTATGTCATTGAAAATGATGGGTGCTCCCCTTGCATTGGTTATTGTGAAGAGCGTCTGGCATGTTAGGAATGCTATTCTGCCCTCACCACCATTACAAAATGACTCCTGGGATAGAGTATTAAGACGTCTGAGGTTGCCGTCCTTTCCGAGCCACGGCCAGCCGCAAGAGACAATAGCTCCTGTCAGCTAGGCCCCCAGATTATTGTGGCCAATCTAGTTTCCAAACCAACCACTCGTGACTGCGCAAGCACCAATGTTTGCTAAGAAAATAAAGAACAGCAACGACACCTTCTACCAGTTCTTTGGTTTTACAAGCAGTTGAATACTAATGATATTGCTGGGCTGTATATATTTCACATGGTCATATAAGCAGAGACTTTCAAATTCAAGGAAAGAAAATCTTATCCTATGTCTAATAGCTCTCAGGATACCTCTGTATCGTAACGACGAATATAGCAAATCAGCTATTTAATCATGCGTTAAGGTCAGATAAAGCATACCCTATATCTTTCTTCTCTAAGGGATATTACAAAGTCTAATTGTCAGCTGGGATGGCTTAACCCATTCTCACTTATATTACGTGTCAACATAATAATCGACTACATTAATATAGAAGTAGAATTAGTTTTTCATTGAGATTTAACCATTTGGTTTCCAAATTAGACTGGAATTATTGATACTATTATGTATATTTTTATATCATTGCAGAGCTTATTAGGCCTACATGGACGCAATAAGCCTAAAGCCACCTGACTTAAGACTTGATAAATCAGGTTGTGATTGTTACTTTCGCTCTATAGAGCTTACTAATAAGATGCAGAACTGGGTGAGCCGCGAGCCGAGGTGGATGAGTCCAAATTGTCGGGCGAACCCTGCCATTTATATGAATATGTAGAAACTCTCCGCTATGTGGGGCGATGAGATGGCTCGTGATACGTGCCAGAGGGCAGAAACGTGGAGCCCGAGGGAGAATGATGAGGTGGCTTCGGGTCACGTGACCATCGCCATTCACAGAAACACTATCTTGGAGGGGTTCAGAGGGCCATGTTATGTAGTCATGTGACCTCGGCTACTAGTAATCTACTACTATTACATTCCAACCTCCTAAGATATTTATTGGGTAGAATGCCTCTGGTAAACCTTATTGGGCAATTATGAAGGAGGGGGCGCGCAATGTGACTGTGGATCGCATTATTCAAGGAAGCAGTGGCGACTGATTGACACATCCCGATGACCCAGTGTACACAGGTCAAACGACCTGACTATCCGTAATCTATAAAGGTAAACGGGAAAAAAGAATAAGCAGTGAGTCACGCGTGAGTAGCAAGACTCAAAGTAACCGAAGTTGGATCATTAGTTTCTCTTGATTTGATCTGCAACAATGACGTGAAGAAGACGGGTAAGATTGTTCTTCGCCTTTACCCACATTCTATTCCATCTTTGTTTAGCATAACTCGGCAAACCGCACAGAGAAATTCTCTTCTACCATGATCTTCCTGGGAAATACTTAATTGTGTTGTTATCTCTTTCATTTACTACTAAATTCGTGAGAAACTCCATCTGAGTAATACACTATGGTCTTGGTAGCTCTTATCACAGGGGGAAGTAAGCAGTGTCCCGATATGCCCACGATAATGGCCGACCGAGAATAACTGTTCATAGCTAGTGGCATCGGCCTCGACGTCGCTCAACAACTCGACGTGACAGGCCTCTGGAAAATTCACATCATCGGTAGCAACTTGAAACGTGGCAAGGAGGCCGCTGCCTCGCTTAAAAATACCACATTTCACCAGACTGATGTGACAAGTTACGAGCAGCAGGGCGCTACGTTTCATAAGATCTTCAATGAGGAAAAGAGATTGGATTTTGTCTTTGCGAATGCCGGAGTCGCAGAAGACACGGTATTCTTTTCCCGGCATGATACTGGAATTCCGCCACGGCCTGATATAGCTGGATTAACGGATATTAACTTGATCGGTGCGATTTATACGAGTTACCTCGCCATGCACTATTTTCGCCGATCGCCGGAGAAGACGGTGGGAAAAAGGAATTTGGTTATTATGTCAAGCATTGGCGGATTATATCCATGCATGCATACCCCGGTATACTCAGCGACAAAACGTAAGTATATGTTGCTTCTTTGATGGATCAAAGCTTATAATGGTTAGATGCTCTGGTTGGATTTACGCGCTCAGTGGGTAAACAACTGTGGAACGAGGGTGTGAAAGTGAACGCGATTTGCCCAGGAGTGGTCCTCACGCCACTGCTAACACCAGAGCTGAAGGCCTACTTTTCAGAGAATGTCCTGCTCACCATGAGTGATGTGACCAATGTGATATTAAAGCTGATCTCGGAGGAAGAAGTGACTGATTCAAAGGGGACATTTGTGCCAGGTGATCAGCTTCATTCGCAAGCAATCCTAGTGTCGGGTGAGAAATATTACTGTGTTGATATGCCGGAATATTTTGATGAGGAGACACAATTAACCCATAAGCATATGATGGGTTGAAGAGGCTGTAAATAGCCTTTCGTTGATAGAGCTGGCAGTCAAAGAAGGGGCCCATACGTTCTTGCCTTTCGATGGAGGAGGTACAAAGTCTTGTAGTAACCTGGAAAAGGTTGGATTTAGATGGCCTGCACCTCATCACTAATATTCGGGCTATGCTTCAATATATCCACCATGACAAAAATCGCACCCAGTAAGAAAGAGCTGGTCGATCCTGAAGATGTGTCACAGTACCCACCAAAGCATCATGGTCCTAGGTTGAATGGCATTTCTCAGTCTGTAACTAATGTGCATGAAAGGCGATAATGGACAGTGAGGTCGCTATCTGAGCAGAAGCCCTTGCCCTCAATCGACCTCTCTTCATTAACTCCACTCCACTTATGCTGCGGCGGAAGTGGCTATTATCCAAAGGGTTGATCTCAAACCCCTCGCTAAGACACATAATCACTCGGTTTGGGTGACGTATGACTTTTTCCATGGAGGCTTCTGTGTAATGGCTGATGTGAGAGTTAATCCTGCTCTTCGAGTCAGAATAGATATAGCATTGGCTGTATCTAGGTCATTTATCCCTAGAGGTCCTTATAAAAGATACTGATAATATAGATATATATATATATGTAATGATGCCTGATCGAAACCTAAATTCAGGGCGGATTGACTTCATAGTGAGAGCAAGATAAGCCACAGAGCCTGTTCGTAGGTCATGAGATCCCTATAGTGGCATAGAAATGGCTAAACAGCTTCACGAGGACTACTACCCCAGAATTAGTGTGAAACATTTGAACACCAGGACGAGGGTAGGTCCCCAAATATCCCAGACATAGCTCCAGTGTTGCAACTCCTATCTTGTCTGGATTACAGAATCTCTTACATAGACCTACCGCCTCTAATGGAAGGACTTTCCTACCCTTTTCTGGAACATAGGCTAAACTGCTGGTAGATGGTGATTCCCCAGGGACTCCATTAGGAGCAACATGGTCAGCAAGTCATTGTCTTCATGCTGCCCATCTTCTAGGATACGAGGGCTACTGAACAAGTTTTCGCTTGATAATTTATACCTTGTAGTTGTCTTTGAGAACAACAAAAGCTCATCATATAGACCATTCCCACGGCACTGTTGTATAGCTGTCTTCTATGTAGCCACGTTGTTACTACGTATGGTAGCTTCCAGCGGATAGACCGAGTTTTCAACCGTTACGCCGTCATAAACTCGATCAAATCGCTCCTTCAACTCAGAGGGCTTTTCCCACTCATATTCCGGGTCACGCAGCCAAAGCCGCAAGAGGTGCCTCCTATTGGGACAACATAAGTCAGCTCTTCTTCATTACCTGACGTTCGATGCCAGGACACTTACTGTTTCTCACTGGAGTCGGTGAAGGCACCCCTGGCGTGTAGTATGCTCAAGTTGTTGGCAAACTGAATGTCGCCTTTGCGGAAATCCAGAGAAACAGCGTGGGCCTCAGCGGTAAAATGGATCGCATCAAGGGCCTCTGCCTGAGCCTCAGTGAGTGGCGGTATGTTGGCTGAGCGCTTGCAGTCCATGTAGCCTGTCAAGTTCCGCCGCGAATATTGGATCATCAGTCTCTCGGGCCCTCTCTCGGTAGCAGGCTGGTAATAGAGAAGCGGCCGTAGCTTGTATACATCACCGGTTGGCGCAAAGCTGAATACAGTCAAATCTTGTTAGTCCCGGAGGCTGGATACAATGCCTTCCTGTTGTAGTGAACTCACTCATCGAAAGGCCAAGGCTCGGACAGCGTCTTGATTAGATCTGGGCGTGTAGCAGCTAGGACATTGTACACGTGGCAAGTACTGGCGAGATAGCTCTCACCACCCCACGCACCCTCATTGAGACAAAATAGGGCAATGACATCCCCAGCATCCGTGTGGAACACTTGCTTGTCGGCGGTCACCACCGGACCAGGAATGTCCTTGGAGTTGCATGATTGACTCAGATCCTTGACATGGGCAATCATAACATCGGCTGGCCTTCCTTGCCACTTACTATCCTGGCGGCCGCGGATAGGGGCGACATGTGATGATAGACCAGTATAGATTATAACGTTCTCTTCGCGAGTGTATTCATCGACGGGCAGACCCCGAATAACTTTGAAGCCGTAGCCTTGATGAACCTGCCTAGAGATATCGCGCAATTTAGGATGCAATTTAGGTAGAGGGAACGTATCGGGGCAGAGTTCGCCGATTGGTTTTCCTAAGGCTGCCAAGGATTAGAATGAGAGTTCGAGCCTGTGATCCCGGAAGCGACAGAGTCACATACACTGGAAGTATCTGAGAGCCGCCTCAATTTCACGAATATCCTCAGTGCTGAGTTTATAGTTCCAGTCATATCTACCAGCAGTTTTGGCATCCCAAACTAGGTCCCCTGACAGCCGTGCAGGGAAGCCCTCGGGAAGATGCATAGCCAGCTGTTCAGTATCCTGTCTGCGCTTGCTACGCGCCAGATACTTGTCATGATCAGGCATGTATTCAATATCGGCCTGCTGGGGAAGAGTGGAGGCAACCATGCTGGGCGATGTTTGACCAGATGTTTGTGTACGGAGGTCAGGGAAAAGACGTGCATAAAGAGGCAAGCGGGTATTCTACATGAGGACACTGGCTTTTATATAAAAGTTTGAGATGGATACCGTGTTAGTACAATGTGAAATCGGACTACCCCAGTTCTGACTACATAGAGATGTATGAGAGAGATATCGAATGCCCAGGGTTAGATTGTGGTCCTGTAAAAAATGGCAACTGCGCCATGTCGGGGTGGGTATCGGCATGTCGGAGTCAGTGTCGGCGTCTCAAAATCTTAACGCTGACGTAGTATCTTGACAACCCCGACCGAATTCAAGTCCAGCAACTACTTCCTTGTTGGTAATTCAAACGCGGACATGAAATAGCATACTAGTTTTTCGAACCGCTTAGCAGCTGTATGGGATAGCTACCCCTCTGATCTATGCCGGTTCTGAAACTGCACTACAATGATAGAAAGTAGTTGAGTTTTTACAGCAGAATACGACGTACAGATTTACGCTGGGGATAAAATTTCATGCAAACTCTGTACCGTGACTAGGTAGGTAGATATATTGATCTTTTGATTTTTCGCCTCTGCTTTCGCTCCCATCTGACTCAGGTGAAATGATGTCGATCTAGTACAGATCTACAGTATTGGACAATAGCGGGCCTTGTCAGGCGAATAATTACCACAGGGTAGAAGTAACGATCCCACGCCGACCTAGATTCAAAAGACTGAAAAGATTTGGCGGAAGTACTGGCACCCCGATGCTATTCACAGTCATATTCTTGACAAGTTTCCAATGTCAACCCTCCACAACCGAGCCCAATGAACAGTGAGTCAAGGACCGGATGAAATTGGTGTTTGACTTGATGGATAGCAGTACCAAAGCACAACAATGTCGTGATTTTGCAGGAAAATTCCGTAATGACTCCTATCCCGATGATGTTAAGTAGGCCTTCTATCCCATTTCTCCATTCAATGCTTCCGAAAGGCCTGCTTCGGAGTCGGAGTGAACATCGGAGTCTCACCCCCGCTTCCGCCGGTGTGAAAACGTCGCATAGCGGGCGGTGTGTTGCTCGGCGCAGCAAAACAGGGGTTAGAAGCGCAGCCCAGCCGAAATTTGCAAGATCACCGATGCACAGGATGCCGACGCCGACGTCAATAAACCGACTAACTGCGAAATCCGCCAAGCTCCCTGCCTGTGATCCGTGCCGAGCGATAAAGCTCCGGTGCGACCATGACAGACCCGTTTGTTCACGCTGCAGGGAGCGAGGCCGAGGTGCTGATTGTACATACCGTTCACGACCTTTCAAAAGACCATCTGCTCGGGCTGCAAACTGGCGAAGGCAAGAAAATGATCAGACCCATTCCGAAGTCACAGCCAATGAAGCTATCAACGCTCCGGGGATTGTCACAGCTGTTCAATATCCCAACCCAGGGTATTTGGGTTCATCGAGCCATACAACGTTTTTCGATCAATTGCAATTCCAGAAGACCGCAGAAGTGGGTCCGACGACTGAAATCGAATCATGTCCAAATCCGGCCGATGACTATATTTTCGATGACAGTTGTATCGCCAAAGGTGCTGAGCTAATTCTGGAATTGCACCGAGAATCATTGATTCCGCAGTTCACCCAGCTTTTCAGGAGATGGATAGCCACGGGAACAAATCTTGCTTTAGCTGGCCCCTTGACTACCCCTTGCGCATCTACAGCTTCTCACTTGATATCAGGATATGATGGAACACATGCATCGGCGACAAGTATTTCCAAGCGTCTCTTCTATAATTCCCGCTGTCCTCTCCGCCTCAATAGTCACACAACATTGGACGAATACTGCGCTAACTTTTGCGGACCTCATGCGCGATGGGAAACATTGGGTCTTTTTTGTACCGCTGTCTGTCGAGCGTCTATTGACTTGACATATGCAGAACCAATGTATGGGTCGGAGCAACAGCGTCGTAGGATACAGAAGTTGACGCTCTCGTACTCAGATCAGTTTCTGGATCTATGCTTACCCCTTGACTGTATGAATGACCTCCAACTCTTTTTGACCTACGAGAATTTCATATCTCATTCGCAGGTTGATGGGGACCAAAGTAGGTGATTCAGATTGCGAAGAAACCCTAGTGGCACATACAAGACTAATCTGATATTTTCCCCCAGGCTACCTGTCCTGGAGAAAATTGGGGGATGTCGCAGCTGCTCTTTTTGCCCTTGGGTACCACCAACAACAAACAGAATCTTTTCGTGCAGCCCCTACCTTCCTACGGGATCTGCGGCAGACCGCCTTCTGTCGAGCATACTCCGCCGACAAGAACGTTTCCATTTTTCTTGGTCGGCCACCTCGAATCCTACGTAAATTCTGTCACTTTTATCTACCTGGTGATCATAATGATGATTCACACGAGGCATCGCGCAGCCCAGCAATTTGGCTTCATACTGAAAAGCTGGACTTTGCTACTGATTCAAGATGGGCTGGTCTTTGTGCCATTTTGAAGGATGATATATTGGACTTGTTCACCGAGGACAATCATGATGAAAGGGCCCGAAGAGCATGGTAAGTTGAGCGATCTCTGTATATCACTCTTAAGTGTGCTTCTAACTTCAATAAGGCTCATAGAGGCTGATATCCAGGCGCAATGGCTTGCGGTTCCTCGAAGTTGTCGGCTGGAGGGCGGCCTTAAAGCCTGTGACCGGCGACCAGTAGAACGAGACTTCATGGTTAACATGAAGTTGAACTACTTACATGTCCAATTCCTTCTGCGGCTTGCATTAGTCCGCCCTATGTCCACGGAGCCCGACTCGGACTTGCTCAATGTCTCCCTTGAAATGTTGGGCCTTGTTGTAGAAACCATTTTACTCAAAGATCAGATAGTGAACTCTGGTACATCGCTCGTATGGAAGGTGGGCTCCATGTGCATCCCAATTTGCAACATCATATCTAACTAGAACGATATCAAAGGTTGCATACTATGGCTTGTCAGCTGCGGGAATGATTTGTCTCACTCTCGTCAACCGCTCATTTGCAATTGGAAGCTTCGCAACAAGTTACTCTAAAATATTCCAAGAGTTAAGCATTCTTGCGGCAGAAATCGAACGCGGCACATTAGTATATGTGGACTCACCCAACTATGCCTTGCTAGCTCGCGCAACCCAAACCATAAAGGCTATTCTTGATCGTATGATGACACCTTCGGACAATACAGTGGTGGCTCCAGATAACCAACATGAAGGGGCGGCTGCCTCTGAGCAAAGGGACGCCCTATATGACGAATCCTGGGGGTTGTGGGACAATACCAACCTCCAAGAATTTGAACTCAGTTTCTGGCACAATCTTGCCGGTCACCCTTCGCTAAACCAATGAGATGCGCTTCAGGATTAATAGTATGTTGATTATGATTTGATGTTTATCTGTTCTTCGGAGTTCAAAGCTTACAGGTGGCCAGCTGTCCATATTGGCAGAATGATGTTGATGTCACTACATGACAGAATATCTGAAAAAGTACAATACTGGCTCTTTGTTGGCAGACTGTATTAGCAGAACTACCGTCACACAAGAGCTGACTAGCGGCTTTGGTAGTTTTCGCTCAGATAATTCCATCGCAAGAGCAGAACAGCTCGCTGCTGTGCGTTTTTATTTGCATACTAAGGTCATCCGGGCATGTACGTCCAATAATTGTGCCATATTGTGCGGAGCAGAAACCTACTTTTCATTCGAATATACCCTCACAGGATTTTTGATTGGTCCTTGGTACCGGGCCGTAACATATAAGGTGATTGACAATTGACATGATCCCACTGTTAGTCGCCCTCCATTGATCCATTTGTTTAAAGCATCCAATTCCTCACCTCTTTGAGAAACGCTAACATCCTTGTTACACAGCTTAGCCGGCCATTGTCTGGAGATCCCTCGGAGCCATGTAAGCTAATATCATGAGCATCTTCCTCCCGCTCGTATCGGTCTGTTGTCAAGTCAATCTCACCGAGAGGAACAAGCTTGGTTTTCTTGCAAAGCTTCCAAACCAAGAACAAGGAGCACATGATAGGGATCTCAATATAGTATGATACAAACTCAGCGGCATCGAATGTTGGGCTAAAGGACTTCCAGCCCTGGATGAGAACCAAAAAGAGGTTCAATCCGACAGCGAGCGCCGGGCCCCACGGATACGTGACATTCCTGAACGGGAGCAGATGCTCAAGGTTCTGCAGTCGGACGGCAGACCGGAAACGCAGCGAAGTCAGGCAGATGAAGAGCCAGGAAATCTGGTTTGACACCCCCACTAGGTTCTGCAGCCACGACCAGACCTGACCAGCACCGATCTTACTTGCCCCGAAGCAGAGGGCACTGATGGCTGCGGTGGCAAGTACTGACATCCACGGGACATTGAATCGGTTCAGGTCGCCCAAGAAACGAGAACCTGGGGCGTGGCCCGTGATGGCAAGGGTGTAGAGAAGGCGCGAGCCGGCGAAGAGGGCATGATTGGCAGCAGAGATTCCGCTTGTCATGACTACAGCATTTATGAAACTGCCTGCCACGGTACTGCCGGCTTTATCGAAGATAATGGTGAAAGGACTGGCCAAAGCACTCTCTGTGGATAGGCCAGGGTAGTTGTAAGGAATATCAAGGCCTATGATGATAATGGATACTATGTAGAACATCAGAATGCGCCAGAAGACGTTGCGGATGACACGGGGATAGGTCCGAGAGGGGTTTCGTGTCTCGCCAGCTGTAACAGCCACATTTTCGGTTCCACCACTATGTTGTACGATCAGCGATCATAGTCCAGATGTGCTTCGGCCACACAAGTGAGGTTTACTATGCAAAGGAAGCTGTCACAAAAACAGAGGCGAAGCCTCCGATCCCACCGACAAAGGGCGCGTCCCCAGTGTAGAAGTATTTAGCACCCAAGTATGTCCGATCAGTATTAGCGCCACAATTCACAGCAATTCCGACAATGATGAAGACCTGAAATACATGAGCTTGGTGCCATGGAAATGAATCTGGGTATGTGCACATACAATGATGGTCACAACTTTGAGCAAAGACAACCAGTATTCAATCTAGAGGAAGTGTTAATATAACATCACATTTAAGCCTTTCTTATGACCAAAATACCTCTCCAAAGACCCTAACAGAGCAGACATTCAAGACCAGAACAAGCGCAAGACACATAAGGCTTAGGCCCCAGCCGGGGAAATGCTTCGTCCAGTATTCCAGCAAGACCTGCAGTGCTACAATGTCTGAAGCTGTGGAGACGGCGTCATTCGCCCAGTAATTCCACGTTAACGCGAATCCAAGAGCATCATCCACGAAACGCCTTGTTAAGGTCAGCACGAAAACCGCTAATCACGCTTTGATAAAGGCCCAGCATACCCTGAAAAGGTACAAAACGAGCCTGCAACAGGCATAAATGCCACCATCTCTCCCAGAGAGAGCATTGTAATGAAGACAATGCCACCGCAAATGGTATATGCCAATAGTATCGACGCGGGTCCCCCAGTTGCCAGGGCCTGGCCTGTTCCCAAGTATAACCCTGTTCCAATAGTACCACCAATGGCAATCATCTGAACTTGTCTAGGGGACAGTTTTCGCGCGAGTCGATTAGGTCTGACATTCTCTAAATCTCCATCCATAGGAATAGCTGCGGGCTCTGGTCTCGACGTGCTCCCGCGTTGCAGCTTTTCGGCGTCCAAAACCGACATTTTTGCGAGTGAAGATCGCGGTTCTTTTCTAGAATCCAGCTGCTAAAGGTCAGTGAGCGTCTTTATTTATATGTTACCGTTCGGGAGTATATATTTAAAGTATAGTCACTATCTGGGGTTGTGGGTCTGACACTTCCCGCTAGCCAGTCGGCGAAAGGACAAATGAGCAATCCATCCATCTCGTTGGCGTCATTCAACACTCCGAAGGCTAGGTTAGATGGGGTTAGATGATAGTCCATTCAGTGCGTGCCAGTTACAGCATCTTTGTTGATTTATTGTCAACTTGTACGCTGTCGACGAGTGGCCAAAGATATGTATATATATACCATACTACCAGCCTGCTCACATTGACATCTGATTTTCTAATATAGGATCGACCCATATCATGAGACAAGGAAAACAGTCCCAACTATTATATGTACCGTTATATGTACACGTGACTTGTGCATAGCAAAAGATTTAGCCTTGCTTTGAACCCTGCTCATATCCTTGCTCATATCATTCGTTACTGCCTTTTAAAATTAGGATAATCCTCTTGCTGGATGCTCGGGCTCACCCCACGGAGAAGATAACCCCTGGTACAAAACTACTCAGAAAAGAACGGAATGCGGGTGTCAAGGTTGTCCGATCTTAGAGACTTCGAAGTTCATCCTGGGTCGAGATGTGTGGAGCGGTCCAGCAGCAGGAATGCCATTAACGGGTGCTCAACAGGTTTAAACATCTAATAATATTAGGTGAGGTCTACAAGTAATGATATACATGAATAGCATGAGAAGGGTCGACCTCATCCGGTATAGATTCCGGCAATCCCTTCGGTCGATATTCCGAGGAAGTGGTCTGCAAGCCCACGAGCGAAAAGGCAATCCAAGCAAGACAAATCAGGGGGGTGGGAGGTGGCGAAACAAGACTTGACGGAGTAGCTTGCCAGGCCAATTGAATAATGGAACACTGTGGTTGTGGTGCCTTACCTTCATCTTCCCGGCCGGTCCTCAATTGTCATCTCCTTGTTGATGTTAACGTAATCAACGGTCGAACGGGCCACACGGTCAGGCGGGCCATCCTGAAATCCCATATAAAAGATGTCTTTTTGATTCTATTATATATCAACCAGTACTACTTCTATGAAGCTCTAACTTTGTAGATAGTTTATATATATAAGAATAAGTATTCCATGAATTTTTCAGATTTTTAGAATTTTTACTTTGATAATGAAACCAGATTCTTATATAATACATATAAATACAGATATTGTAATATGATAAGTCCATAAGTAAAAGTATATTCATTTTTAGAAGGTATATAGATATTATTTATATTATTTAAAATCTATATAGAAGAAATCTAATTCTTCTAGACCTGGATGGTAGAGATATATTATGTTTAAAAAGATATCTTTTGTATAGTATTACCAGATGGCCCGCCTGACCGTGTGGCCCGTCCGACCGTTGATTACGTTAACCAAGTTAGTTAACTTACACTAACTACTAACTAGCAACTCCCCTGTGGATTACGGCAATTGTAACCACGGTTATATCAGGCTGACACGATAGAATCCTTAAGGTTACTTTGTTCTTTGATGGGTAGCACCTTTTGCATATTACCATAAGGCGGGAATAGTTATGGCGCATCGCCTAGTGCGGTCTGTCGGCCTACAACAAGTGACAGCCACTTGGAAACCTCAGGCTTGGGGACACATATCGATTAAGGTGTCAATTACACACGTAGTCGAGCAGTAGATGACAAAGGCAAACGCGCATCTACTGGAGGGAAGTCATTGCAATGCCTTGGACTTTAGTTAACGGAGAACAACCGCATCATATATGCCAGTCAGCGGCCAGCAAAAGAATGGAATTACACGTCTTGGTAACTGTCTGTCAAGCTCTATGCTAGACAAGGAAAGTCTAGTACAATTTTGGGGTAACTTGTGTCGCAATGCTTGCGAACAACTTTCAGAGATCCGTGGATTCAGCCACTAGTGTGTAGCCCACTAATCGGTACTAGAAATCGGCTAGTTTCCCGATCCCGCCGAACACACTGAAAGGGGCACCTAAACTTTTCTTGCATTCATCACGCCTTCTATTTCACCTTCGACGCTCTCTTCTCTCCGCTCATACATGAAAGTCTTTCCAAAGGGCACTAGTATTCAGGACCTAAACTGTCTTGCCCCTTTGTTCAAACTTTCCCGTTCCGTTGAGCTGCGGTAAACCTAGAGTCTGGAGATAAACGCCAGCCCTCGATTTGTAAGTCGATGACATTCGAAGAGAATACCTATACTAACGGTTCGCGAGGACAGCAAGATGATCGAGACGCGTGGAATATCATTGACAAATTTTGTCGTGGCATCGTCGGCACTTGCATTCCAGGTGTTTGTTCTATACCCATGGCACAAACAGCTCGACGACGGATTCGAGGCCCTCAAGAAAGAGCACATTCGAGTGCTAAAGTCTCTCGAACACCTACAACAGGAAAGGAGGAAGCAGATTGATGACCGAGTGGCTTAAGCGATGGATAGTTCACTACGGCGCGATGTGGAGATGGGATAGACAGATTCAAAGATGAATTTTTGTATAGACACGGCCTACACTATCGATACTAGTGTCGAGTTACATGAGCCAACAAGAGCTACATACTGGGGATAACGCACAGCGGTCTCATAATGGGCTTTTCCACTGCCTTGTGCTTGCCGGCGAAAATAGATTGCGATGCGATACAGCCTTAAAATTGTCAAGGGCCCGAGAAGATAATCCAACCTTTTTGGTAGACTCTTTAGGTTTGTAAGCAATGTGTCAATTGAAACATGATGCACCTTATTTTGAGGAGATGACCACATCAACAATTGAACGTTTCTTGTTTCGGAGAAATGGGCGCGATGATCGGAGCGAACTCCGGTCCGGTCGGCGATCGTTGAAGATACTCATAGGTCGTGACCCATGACGACTGACCCCTTTGGGTAGGCCGATAGGCGTATACTACTACTAGTAGCATTAGTGTAGGCATCGAAAGTGCTCCCGTCATTGGCCGATGTGGGGTTTTGCCTAGTGTACCCCCAAATGCGACACCCCTTTTTTATGATCTGGCCGGAGATGGTTCGTATCTGTCGGATCCGACAGATAAGTCACCTCGTGGTAGTCGTGGCCCCGATGGGCACGCAGAAGAAAAGAGAAGAAAAGAAACGGTGGGGGCTTTCGAAGATACAAAAGAACGTTTGATTTGTCCTTGCTACCATTAGGTTCGACAATCTTCCCCTCTGCAGCGTAAAAGCCATCTGTCCGGCTATCCAAAACGCCGGCCAATTCTGCTGTTGAGTGATTTGTCAGCAGCCATCGTCAAGCTTTGTGCCACACACGAATTACTTCCAGGCGTGAGGATCTTGAGAGGACTCTGCCACCATACAGTCAATCATCATTCATCAGAGAGTGTAGACACCACGAGAGCCACCTAAAGAAGTAGCCCTCATGAATAAACCATGACAAATTATCTTGTCTCGTACTTTGAGGAGCAAGTCGTTCCGACAAACGAGCCATACGGACTATCAACTGAGACCGTAGTCGCGCTGTATCGGTCCCAGATGGCCTTTTCCTCTTCACAAGGCACTCCTACAAAAACACTTATGTCTCTCCTCTTTTGCTTTGACTTTTTTTTTTTTTTCCATATTATTTATTTATATCCGTTTGATAGACTATACGTCATCTCATAACATGTCTGACGAAGGGGGCACCAATTAACCGCCGTAAGTACGGCGGTTAATAGCGGCCATCGGGCAAAAACGATTTGTTGGTGTTCACTGCCGACAGAATAAGTAGAAAATCTGACTAAATCGTCTATACCTTATTGAATATATCTATATATAAAAAGCTCTTTATATATTATTCATCAACTTATTTAATTTCATTATATAAATACATACTAGTCCTAAGTACTATTAAAAGGTATAAGTCTTATCTAGAATATCATATATCGATATTTTATAGAATTCATTTTCAAATAATAATTGATCTACCTGCTCTACCTGAAATTCTTATTCTATCTTTAATGTATAGTTAAGACTCAAGAGAAGTACTTTGAATGCCACTCGCGAGATTTCCCAACAACCAGCTTTCGCGTCTCCTCATAATGCTCTACAGGGGCGAGCCAGTAGCCAGAGCGTCCACGAAGGGCGTGGGTAGTCTTTATAACTTATACCGTTAGAACATCTCAAGCCTTGTATGAGTTGAGTTATAACAAATTTAAAATGACATTTTTAATATGGATCATTGGATATTGGATAGCAGGATGGACAGTCAACTGTTGTGTACGTTAATCACAGGCTAAGGCGGCTGACATATGTAAACACATATATACCTGACTCTTAACCTGCGGTTAACCATGTTTATCTTTAGGATACCTTTGAGTTGATGTAACTCAAAATCAATATGTCAAGAACCAGCCTCCTAGACTTCTAATGGCCGGCATTTTATGAGTTTGAAAAAGGATATTATGTATAGTATTACAAGGTAGACGGCCCACACGACTGGGCCTTTCAACCAAGTGATTTGGTTATGCCAAAAGCTGCTGGTCATGGATTGGTTATTCAGCGGGATGGCCAACTCGATCACTTCTCTATTGATAACTTGATATCACCTAATTACAGTGACCCCAGTGTATAATGCCTTTATTGAACCCCACAAGGAGAAAGTTGACACCTGCAACGCAACCTAAAATATAACAGCTAATGCTGACTACCATATACAAGTCAAGATTTAATCTTTTTTTAGATCGAGATTAGATAAAGAACAAAGCCAAAACTTAGGGACGTGCACTGCCCATATGAAATATACCTTCCTGATAAAGCTTATATTCTGCCGCCTCTGGCTTTTTCACTCCCTGCTCATACTGCGGAATGTTGTGTTTGTTTCTGGCTTGAGTGTTGGTCTTAGGGTAAAGCCCCGCCCATACCGTTCCTTGAACTCCGGCGTCGTCTGACCTTCCGCCACATCGCTTGCATCTGACATAAAGCTGGTCTTTGAGGGAGGCTCGTCACCTCTCAGAGAAATAGGATGTTGAACTGTGAGATCTCGCGATAGCTGCTGGATTGTTCCGTTGCTCATATAGCCTCCTACTTGTCTGCTTCTCCAGCCCAAGCCTCGGTTTTTCCCGTGGAGAACCTTCCCATTTGCGGAGACCATGAACTGAAGAGCGTCCCCAGTGCCATGGTTTTCAATATTACTAACAGACTCCTTGAAGTGACTATCCGCATGAGAGCAAATATCCAGACACTGCCGAGCAGCTTCCCATTCATCACGTAGCCGCGATAGCACTTGGGCATCGTCATCACAGGAGATCCTATTTTTTGATTTAGCAAGAAGCTGATCCATGATCTCCTGCATATGCTTTTCCAACTTGGCGGTTGTCGCAATTAGGCTTCTTTTACATTCCTGTAAGCCTTTGTTCGTAACAGTCTCAGGCGACGAATCACCCATCTCAGATCCTCCAGCTGAACTCCTGTCGTCGGATAACAGCTGGATTTGGTCGATATGATTTGACAACTGGGCGCAAATCTGAAGACATTTCTCTGTACTCCGGCGCTCCTCCTTCAGAGAGTGCAGTTCGGCTGCATCCGGATCGGATAGGGTGCCGTCCTTCTCAGCCAGCTGCTCTAACTTTCGATCTATATTTTCGAGTCGAGCTCCCAAATCCTCTTTTGCATCCTGAATCAGAGCCTCGTAGTTCTCAATGCTTTCGACAGCGACCGCAGATTTGCGCCTTGTGCGGCGATCAGTAACCATGACCAAAGAGCAGAAGTTTGATAAGAAAAGCTGATGTTGTTGGGTTTGGATGCTTACAAAGTTGCATCAGTCAAAGCAATATTAATTGTGGCCTTGTATCCTGCCAGCAGGTTACGAAAATCATCGATATCATCACCCATGTACGTGAGTCTCGCCCAGTCACGGAAGCTGGCTCGATTATTGCTCGATCGTGACGCGCACCGAACCAACTCCTGCTGAAACTCCTTGCAAGCATTCCCGCACCGAAATAACGGCAGATCTAGGGCTGAGAGGTTCGCATCAGAGTTCGATTCAACTAGCTCAATTAGGGGCGCCAACACAGCCCTCAAAGCTCCGAGCTCTTCGAGAAGGTCGCGCACACGCTTTGGATGTGAACGAAAATTGTTCACCGTCTCATAAAGCGAAACCGTGCCATGAAATGCGAAAGTTGCCAAGGCAAGTATTCCAGAAGCGAGTCCGATGGGTTCCGCCATGGCTATCTGTGTGCAGTGGTATAGCTTTACTGTGCAAAGCAACAAGACAAATGGTGAACTTGTACAGAGAAACAAGGCAAGGGCAAAGGTCCAGATAGAGGCAGTTCAAGTAGGAATATTGTTGACTGGGATTTTCCTGGGGCCTAGATGGCTTCTTATTACTCCAATGCAGCATCACCTGGTCAGGCTGTAAGCGCTGTGCTCACATATGGTGGGCAAAGGTTCTAAGGCGGTCGGGACGAGGTGGGGCGGCGGCTGCTCAAACAATCAGTTTCGTGGGGAGGCAGTGTGCATTTGCCCTGGGTGGCTGTTCCGTATTACCCAGGGTACTACGGAGTACTAGTAGTGCGGGCGCGTACATGAGATTCTAAAGCCGGCTATTACTGGCTGCGTATTTCTGGAGCGAGCCAGTCACATGGCTAGCCGCCTGTCGAGGCCGGCGACAAAATCTCGCTTCATGGCATCAAAAATAGATTGTACAGGTAATAGTAATCTACTCAAAGATGTCTTAGCACATCCGATCATTCCCCAAAGTAATGAGGCAGGCTTCAAAGACCAGCTCAAGAAAGACTTGCCAAGCTCCCAACTACGATTCCGGACACAGCAGCAGCTGTTAAGGGCGCCGATGAGAGAGTCAACTACGTGAAAGAGGGGGGAAGTAATACAACGAATAATTAAAATTAATATGCGTTTCATCAGCCAACAGGATAGCTAGGTGTTGTGAATCTCACCACAACCACACGACCAGCAATGATCCCTGCTAGTGCAAAGCAGAGGGTAACAACTCATGGCAACGATTCTACAGGTTAGGTTTTCCTGAGCTGCTTTCTCAGCGCAATTGAGGCAATATCAGGGTCAGCTTCGATGGCGTTATAAATATACCCAGCCACTGCTGGCAGGCTGCGGAAGAGTTGGGCAGCAATAGTCGTCGATCAGGCCCCAACACGATCCCGGCGATAAGGCTACGAGCCATTGTTGACTTGCCCGTGCCAACCTTCACTGGAATTCCGTACATATGCTTGCTAGAGCTCGCTACTATAGATGGACTTTCTCGAGGAGCTTATGACGCGTATCTTTGATGCAAGTTGCAGCGTATTGCTTTGCATTAGAGTTGGGGGCCCCTCTGGTTCTCGTAGCTTGCTGATGACAAAATTTCGGTTCATGGTTTTCGTCATGCCAATACACCCGGGGTATCGAGGCGTCTGCCGTCTTCACGTGACTTTAGTGCTAATTTGTGGCTTGTGGAGACGATTGGCCCGTGGAACCCCTCAAACATTGTGGTCGCAGGGTTCCCAAATTTCATAAACGCCAGGGATATATAAAATGATTTTCTTATACTATCCAACTATACAACTTAGGGCCTGCCAGATTGTGTAAATGATGTTTTCTATAAGTTTTTGATAAAGTATAATCTAATATTACTTGATAGGATCTACTTGTCAGGACAGAAGACCTGTCAACTACGCAAGGTATTAATCCCAAAACATTAAACACTCATGTAATGATAACAAAGATAGCCTATATTCATAGAATAGACGGGTTCTGAGGGATAAATAGTCCTACAGTATTAATTACTATCTTATACTGATTATAACAGACTCTGATAGTTACTATTAATAACTTTATTACCTAGATAAACATTTTGATATATTATTTTGACAGTTCTGGCCACTACAGTCTAAGCTATTCTATTTTAAATAATGTTTTCTACTGACTGAGAATTATTATTTGCCCGAGCACTGCTTTTATCAGTGCTTCCTGCCTGGCGAATACGCCTTACTAGTGAGCTAACTAGCAGGGTTCCGTAACAGAAATATATTTTATATTCAAGTAATCAAGAAAGAATATCGAAGAAGATATATAGAGGATATTAAACATAAAGAGATATTAAAAAGGAAGTATCTTTCTATTTATAGTGAATTAATATTATATTATATCTTATATAAACTTAACTGATATCACCTAAACATATCAATTCTTATATATTATATACAGATCATGATATATTCTTTATTAATATTTTATACTACTATATATAAAGAAATAAGAAGTATTATCTATTATGTATGATTTGTATAGTATACGGTGAGGGCAGCGGCGAGTATACTTAGGCTTTGAAAACCTTTTTTACCTGATGGCCGCTATCAACCGCCGCAAGAGACACGCCAAACTGCAGGGTCAACAAGCTACTTGGAAATTGCAGGTGGGTAATCAAACTTCCACAAAGAAAGGCTCTCTCTGAATCGAGCGAACGACTACTGAGATACTAGATCGGGCAGAACTGAAAAGCTACACTGATAAAGGCAAACCTGTCTACCAAGTTCTTACTCGACTTTCAGTCAAGGCTGTGACGGCAAACCATCTACTTACCGCCGAATACCTAAAAGATAAGCGAAAAGTGGCTATTATGTCGATATGGTGACTAAGAAGGCAATGAACACCGATGCATTTGATGTGGCCAAGGTCTTTCTATATTATAGGTGGAATATCCACGCCCTCACCCAGGGTAACCTATGTCGAACATCGAGCTATGTCACCTTTGATTACTGAAAATGGGTCCATGCGAACAGTCTTAAAGATGCATGACCCACAATGAGATCTGGATACTCTAGTGGCTTGAGCATGGAGCTGACCCAAATACGAGGAACATGAACAAATACAGGGTGTAACGAGCTAGGCTGAACGTTATGCCCCAGCGTTCACGTTTAAGCTGCTTGCCTCTCGTGACGCCAACTTTCCTTGTAGCAACGCCCGACAAGCTGCTGAAAGCCGAACTTAAAGCCCTGCAATAACTACTGAGTGCTCAACAAGGAGGGCTTCCTCATTGACTAGCCCAGGATTGAGTAGGACCCTGTTGAACTTTGGAATTATAAGGGAACACTTCAGAACCAGCGTTGCACTATACGGCATTTGCCATGTGCCCTGAGGGCATCCGGTTTCCTCTGGATCGAGTGATTGATATTAACCTGCAAAACACATATGGCCGTACTGCACGGAAATGGGCTGCAGGGCAGCGGAGTCAAGAAGGCCTAGCAATCCTTGGTAGTCAGGTATGTCAATTGGCTTTATTTTAGTCAAGCTAGTCTTTTACCGAATAGCCGAGGAGTTTAGATCTGGAGAATTCACTGCCTGAAGCACACCAGGCGGGATCCTGACAGAAGCCTGGCATTCTACAGAAATCATATACAAATACGCCGTTCTAGTACCATGCCTCACTGTATTCAGGCAGTTATCAAGGCGGATAGCTCGTATATAAAATAATTACAAGGTTTCTGCCTGGCAGAATATCCTAATCAAGGAAGCAGTTCAATATGACAATAAATAGAAATCGAACCTTTTACCTGTAGGCATTGTGGGCCCGCTTAGAGGCCTGGAAGAATCTGCTTTCCGGGCCTTAGGCTCCCAGACGGAAGCCCCTATCGACATGATATAGTTAATCATCTCGACGTGGTCCCTGCTGACACAATCAAGGTGCTCGGAGTGCTCGGTACATCATTCTCATGACGAGTAAAGTTGTAGCACGGACCATAGCCAACCCAGCAATCATCAACCAAAAACCACGGAATTCTGAAAGACCCATGAGGCCATCAATGTATTTGGAAAAGATCATCGCTTGAAGGATGCATATCCTGGAAAGCTAAGCCCATGATCCTTGCCAGTCATCTGACACGAGCATTGTCCCACTCGAGCTGATGTGGCAGTTCAGCCTTTCTTCCAGTTGTCTCTCTCACTCTCACCACTAACTCGGGCATATAACACAGTACCCGTTTCCAAACAAGCTACAAATCTTATCAAAAATAAATGTCCCGTGAAGAGTACATCAACACCGACAACCCTATCCAAGAAGCTCACAGTTTCATCTCCTACGAAATAATCAGGAACTCTAAAGTCAACCTGATAACCAACAAGATGGACGGTACTACAGTTGGCAGCCATATCACTGGCATCCGCGGGGTGTGTGACTGGGACGATGCAGGCAACTTCTGCAGCTACGAGGAGTGTGATCAATTCGGGAAGTGGAACTTCAATCGCGTGGTCTGGTCGATCCGGTACGACAACAACATTGACAAGAGCAAGCCGTTCGGGTTTCATGTGAACACAATGAAAGAAAACGCATGTGGGGTGATGGCACTAGACATAGGATAGAGGAGCACGTCGTGGTGTTCTATAATTCGAACTTGACAGTGTCGGCGCCGGAATCAACGGAGTGTTACATCTCTGCGCGAAACGATTTGACCAACCATACAGGATGGAACTGGAGATGGGACAGTGCAACGGAGACCGGGAGGGTTGTTTGTGCCGAAATCGTGCGGTTTCTGTGAACACATAGACATTAGAATGGTTGCTATTTGCAGGAATCATTGGGGGCATGCTGCAACGGGATGGTATAAGGGAAGTGGGCTAAATAGGGCTTGACTTCAGGCCAGGCAGATGAACTCAGAGTCAATTTCTTCACTAGAGTCCGGGCCCAACATCTCCGATCAAAAGGAGTTGATCGGGTTCCCCAAAAAACCCCGACCTGAACCCGCCCAACCTGGCTCTGTATCCGTGTCAGACTTACCTACTATTTAGGGACAATAAATATAATGAGATTAAACTCATAAACAAATATTTTGCTTACTCAATGAGGTCTGATGGCATAAAGAATGCACGCATAATGTTCGTTTTGTATTGAGTATCAATAATCACTTCTTCAACAATAGATATATAATTAAGATTCTGTTAGGATATTCACGTAAGTTGTGGCCCGTCAAGCGAGCATGATGGTATAGTAACCGAAATCAACGCATGAAGTTTCATAAGCATGCAAAATCTGCCAACTTCTAGTCAACTTTCATGTCTTTGCCACTTGAATTCTAGAATCTGCTTGAGTCGTGGATACATAAACATTTGTTCAACCCAACCTTCCAGAACTACATAAATGTGTTAATCAGCCAGAAACGGTAGTTAAGACCAAGATATCATATTCATCGCAGCAACTTCAGTAAGAAAAGGAGATGAAAAGTAGCTACATCTGGCCTCATATCATGAATGGGGGCAGCGAATCACTGCACCAACTGAGAACCAAGTAGTGATTTTCTAAGGTTATGACAATAATCTTTGCTTAGTGTCGGTGACCAGGCGCGTAACTGGCCGCCCTGACTTCTATTTTAGCTTGGTTCCGCTAGGGATCTTGTCTTGGAGTCGGGAAGCTCTTGAATTTCACCCCCTAAACAGTGTCCTGACTTGAATCGTGCTAAGAAACCCAGAATAGAAAGGCAAACCGCTAGGTTGTGTACCGAGTATTTTTCCTTTCCGCAATAATCAATCCCATGCTTTAAGAAGTCATATATCTCGTAGATATCAGATGACTCCAAACCATACGACAAAATCTAATCGTAGGCACATATAAGAGCTCTAATACGTGAAGGTCGGTGATTAAGTTTCTGGCCATGTTATAAAATACGAAGTCGCTGTCTAGCAGTGCCCTCTATCCCCATAACATTATGACTGCCGCGGGTAATTCTGTCCTTATCCCGCGGTCCTGACTAAAGTACGACACCAATGGTGACACATATTTGGGGATATCAAAAGGCTGTTTTCGATTGTGGCATTCATGGCCATGAAGAAGACTGGAATATCTAAACATTGTAGGAATGAGCGCTCAGGGGTAATGCCAAGTTCCAGATCCGACTGCATAGCCAAATGAGTCATCTGCAGCAATTTTTCCTGCTCAGGCACGTTAGACAGAACGTAGCCGTCATAGTGTCTGTCACCTAAACAGGTACTGCAATGAAGGCCAAAAAATTGTGTGATATGTGCTCTACTATATCAGGTAATATGCTGTCAGGGATATAACACCGTCAAACTTTAAAGAATACAACTGGTTAAGCGAGGCTAACTCGTTTGGTGAGGCCAAGTATATGTAGTATAAAAGTTCTTGCAGCGTGGAACTAGCGGCACTTCGCCAGAGCCTGATAGGGACGGATGATGCAGCAGACCAGTAATAACCGAAGGTGAAGAAGGGACTTGCCCAAGAATGAGATCTACATGATCCATAGCTTCAATTGGGAGAGTAGTATGTTTTCTTATAGCAAGTTGCAGATATTAGCGGGTATGTCACGGGGGGATCTACCTATCTAGCACCCCGTAATATATAATCATCGGGGCCATTACTCCTCGGCCACTAAAAGACCGCCACACCCTATGGATTTGTCTACAACACTTGTCTGGCTTTTCCCCCATCGTATCATGAACACAGTCCTTGCGTAAAAGGTTACCCTCTCATAATGACAGTACGGGGATACTAAGCAGCAAGTTCCCAACCCACCCCACCGATTAATTATCATTGTACTTGCTGACTATATTCACCCTCCTTAATTCTTTTTACGGGCTCTGTAGCATTATACGCTCAAAGTATGAGTGACAGATGGGCTAACTCCGACTTTCTCAATTTGTCCGTTTATTTCCTCAATGCCTACAAAGCCGGAAGCCACAGATTGTCATCGATTGCAATATTATGATACGTGTATATCGCGTCGCCCTTCCGAACTCGGTGATATAAGTGTCTTCTTGCTCAGTGAAGGTTTATTGATGACATAGGTTTCCAAACTCAAAGCTCAATTCCAACTCAACGTCTGATCTTGCCACTATTGGATGCCCGGGGGAAAGAGGTGCCTAACCAGTTAATCTGTATAACTGATGCCATATGACAACCGCTTCTGCTTACCACAGTGCATAAACTTTTGCCTGTAAATCTGTCTTTCTAACTGGGAGCTTATTTGCTAAAGGCAATATTAAGTTTACCTACTGAGAGTCTGTCTTGATGGGCTTAAGGGCATTGTTAGCGGACTGAAGCTTTTAAAAGAAGATAAGTAATGTACAATGTCTCTGAGATCCCATTGAAATAATATTTCTGCATTTTCAAGTCAATAAGTCTCGATGAAGAGTTATGAATCATAGTTGCTATTTATTGGAAGTTTTTGTAATCCCTCATTTGCCTACTATGCACCGCATAAGCCGACATACCGTGGGTTTTTGCATGGAAGGTACAGTGATAAATTAATAGAATCAAAATTTTGTTGAGATCCGTTCTTGGTATAATATTGTATGTGAACCAACAATTCTATCTTTCCCTGAAAAGCGACTTCAGAAGTGATCGCGTCCTAGACCGAATAAATCAATAACGGTTCCAGCCCTAGCCTTATTTAATTATAAACCAAGCGTATCTTCTATTATTGTTCCAAAGTCTCCTATGCACCTCGGTAACCAAAGGCTGAAATGATTACTGAACATTCTAACGTAAGCGGCAAGCGAGTCGGCCACGTAAGCGAGTCGGCCACCTCCGCTAGTAGTATATCATCATTCTGATTTACATACAAAATGATGCTTTTTGAACACCTAATTCAACGCTTAAAAGCGCTCTATCTCAAGATACTGCTCGATTAGGACATCTAGTACGTATATGCCCTACAATATGGCACGCGCTACACCTAGGAGGCGCCCGACGGCGTGGTTGATCCTTCCTAGGGCCTGCATTCCCAGCCTGTTCTTCCAATATTCTAGCATGGTTGAAAGCCTCAAGCGCTTCTTGTACAGTGAGGCCATTCAAACCATCCATTTGATGTTGATTGCGTTTCTGCTTGGTGTTTTGTTTGTTAAGAGCTTCACGTAGTTGGCGATTTTCATGCTCAAGTAGTATTGTATGATTCAAAGCAACCTCCGCGCCTTTGAAGATGTATGATAAGGCTGACTGTATTGGTGTAGCTGGAGTATCTTGTTGTTGAAGTAATTGAGATAGTGTAGACTCGTACTTCTTGAATTGCCTCGAATTCCTTGGTGTTTTTGTAAAGATCGAAGAAGAGGAGGTGCTTTGACTGCTCGGACGGCTGGTCTTTTTAAAAATCATATTCTCTAGTATCTTGCTGGGATCTAGAGGAACAAGACCTGAAGCTCTAAAAGCGCTTTGTATATTTGCTTTAGTAAATACTTGAGCATGGGCTTTCGGATACATGTCAAGAAAATCAATCTTCTCGATATGATGATATCCCGTACGGATAAGCTGTTGAACTTGATCTTTATAGGTCTTCTTCAAAGGCGAAAAGCATGCAACATCTAGAGGCTGACATAGATGTGAGGAATTAGCAGGCATACAGACAGGTATAATCTGATTTTGATAACATATGTTATCAAATTGAGGTGTTAGATGCGAATCATGCCCGTCAAGTACGAGGAGGCTATATTAACCTGTTCTTCGTGTTTTGATGTATGGAATGAAGTGATCTTTGAGCCATGCTTCCCCAATCTCTCGTGTAGTCTATCTATTTGAGGATATAGCAATCCTCCAGGAAGATGGTAGACTTCCTTTGTACTAAGCTTGAATATGTGTTTTTGCTTTTAATACTAAATATGCTGGTAGCACCTATCCAGCAGTATTGATATACTCAATTGAAGTTATCCATTCGCGATTCCCTGGCTGTATAAGAAAGGGTCTTCCTTGACATGTTGAGCGTGTTACTACTTTAGTAGTACCCAGGATACCCATAGCAAAGCCAGTTTCATCGAAGTTATAGATATCTTCGTCGACAATGCCGTATGTTGATATAGCAGTTTGTACGCGTTTAAATCATATCTGAATAGCTTCAGGTTCTTCATACTTCGCTCGTTTGTAGTTGATTTGACGGTTATATCGACTTTTCAAGGAATCATGCCTTGAGATGTAGTTGGTAATCCATTTTTATCCGACAGAGATAGTTGTATTTTGACCACGCTTTTGAAGTAGTAGATTCGCCATTTCACGGACTTGAGAGTGCTTTGGTAGTGCACCACGTTGATCTAGCGATATAATCCATTTTTCAAGTAATTCTTCCTCTATAGAGGTCAATTTATGTGAGTTGGCTCTAGTATTCTTGCGAAATTTGAGCCCATTTAGGCGATCTTGAAGTGTTGATCGGGGAACTTGAAAAACGCGTGCAGCTTTACGAATAGATTTTGTATGACCTTTTTGAATAGATTCAACTGCTAAACAGAGCCTGCCCTCTTGTTCCACCAACTCTTTTGATGATTTAGGCATTTTTGGTGGTGTAATGGCTGTTTGGATAGCATCGCTTTCGGAGGCGTGGACGAGTTTCGATGGGGTGGCCGACTCGCTTACGTGGCCGACTCGCTTGCCGCTTACGTTAATCTCTATGACTAACAGTGTCACCGCGCTATATTCTTTCTCAGTAGTGGGGCGGGAACCTCGGCCATGTACTCCGTAGATTACAAAACATCGGGATAGATCACTAATCAGTCTCCCAACAGACGCCAGTTTGGTCGACCGGCTTTCACTGCACCTTCCAATCACATACTGTCAGGCAATAATTAATGTAGTGCCATGACTTACTGATATTCTTCTCCTTGGCACGTTCGTGCTGTTCACTACTTGTGTTCCGGTAATTCATACTGATTAGCCTTGTTGTCCCCACTCCTCTTATCCTACTCCCAAGATCTACATTTCATCGATTGATTCATTCCAACACTGAGAAATTAGGATTGTGCATATATGACAGTAGTTTCAGTGCAGTAATCTATCAGCCAACGAGGTTATATTAGAATAGAAAATACTTTGGACAGTAATCACAGAGACAAGGTGTCTTCGTAAGAAAATGGAGAAAAGTTTCGGTGACCATAGTAAAACCTAGAAATGGCAGAAATTGCACACTGAGGATTTGTTGGACAAGAAGAGGCAGAAGCATGGCGTGTGGTATTATATTGCGTGATGCGGCGTCTCGAACATGTTCCCTTGGGGGGGAAACCAACGGAAGGAACTCTATAAAACTGGGGCATGTGGAGGGCCATGTGGAAAGAAGAGGTCCCGCATCCCATTGTGGGCGCTGAAAACCACGGCGAGCAGGCCCGAGGCGGGCAAACCGGGAAGTTTTGTAATCAACCCAACGCTCGACCACGGCTAGCGTCAACGACTTGAATTAAGGTTTGAATAACTGCATGCTTGCTAATCTACCTGTGTATACTAACAGGCCGCATACTCTTCCTTCCCAACGAAATTGCGCATATACCTCGCGGACGGTCCAAAGCATACTTTGCACTATTGTTCTGAGGAGAGAATTAGTTGCCCTCCAAACTATCGGTCGCAAACATGGGCCAGAAAACAGTTCTCATCACAGGTTGCAGTGAAGGTGGAATAGGTGACGCTCTTGCCCGAAACTTCCACAAAAGAGGCTTTCGAGTTTTTGCCAGCGCTCGCAATACCGAGAAAGTCGAACATCTTAAGAAAATGGGTCTCGACATTGTACAACTAGATGTCACCGACGAAGAGTCAATCAAAAAAGCAGTGTCAACGGTGAAGGCTGCAACAGGGGGATATTTGGACTTCCTGGTCAACAACTCGGGCGCTGGTGGGTCTCACGATTGCGAAACAGTGTACGTCTGACTACTTTGAAGAGAGCTAAAAATTCGACAGGTTACTGCATGCCCTTGTTGGACTCGGACAGTTCAGTAGCGAAGAAGATATTTGATGTTAATGTATTCGCTGTCGTTGCCGTAACTCAAGCATTTGCACCACTATTGATTGGCTCAAAAGGAACGATTATCAACATTGGGTCAGTGCTTGGCAAGATGCCTCTCCCATGGCAAGGTTATTACAACGCAAGCAAAGCCGCCGTCGCTATCTTGACTGACCAAATGCGTATTGAATTTTCTCCCTGGGGAGTCCGAGCAATTCTTGTCACTACTGGTGCAGTCAGGACAAAATTATTCGAGAATCTTCCTAGTAAACCAGTTCTGCCTGAGGGCTCCCTTTACTACCCGGCGAAGGATGTGATTGAGCCAGTATTGACTGGAGCCGGGGTTGAGAAAAATGCTATGGATGTCGATCAATATGCTGAGGTGGTTGTCAACAACGCAATCCAATCAAGACCCAAGAAGCATGTCTGGTCAGGTGGAGGGGCTTTGATTACTTGGCTGGCTTCAACGTTCGGCTGGTCGACTATTTGGGTTGGCGGTTTCCCCTTGTTCGAAGAGAACATGCTCATCCATTATGCTAACACATCTGCAGGACCTCTTACTGCCTCCTGTCGTTCACATGTCAGATATATCGAATAAGATCCGTACCTCAGAGAAAGTGGAACATGAGTGCCGGAAGAACTAAGTAGTTGCTCTCTGTCATAATGTTTTACTGGGGAGCAGCATTCAATTTATTCCTCATTTTTGCTCTTGCGCTTTACTTGTAGTGTGTATTTTTTTTTTTTTTTTTTTTTTTTTTTTTTGAACTTAACCAGGAAACATAGACGCAAACCATCCTTGTTGGGATGCTTTCCATTCTTGTCCTCGGTCTCCCTATCTAAGTAACCGTTCGTATCTATTAGAAACATTACCAGGTAGAGTAGCCGAGCACTGTTCGAAGCACTCATACGTGGTAAAGAAGCTTTGTCTACAGTTATGATTTGACCCTAGATTGCTGTGTCCGATACCAAAACCGTTGTAGACAATCACTTCACGGCTTTTGGAAATGTTGTTGAAGAGGAGCAGTTCCAGTGTACCCATGCTAGCACAATGATGTTTGACAGACTAACAGCACCGACCTCTGTACTCCAAAGCGCCGATAGGCAGAATTCAGTCCATTAAAGACCTAAACCTAGTGGGAATAGTTTGAAAGGTCGTCATCATATCAGCTGGGTTCGCAAGATGTTTGGAAGAGAAGACCGGAAGAGCAAGTAAATCAATACATAGCCCCGAGGACGGACAGAAGATCTTTTTCTCTCAAAAAAGGGAAAAGTTGCATATTGATAGGGCCAAATGCAACGTGACTGGTCACCCAGGATTGTATCTTAGAATTTACTTGACTTATTCCTAGTCCCTTCTCTGCTGTCAGAGAGCGATCGTCGAGTTAGATGACTGGGAGGTATGCAATACCGAGGCAATTCCCAATTTTCGACTTGATTACTGATCGGTAGGCAGATGACTGAATGGCAGCTGAGGAAGGCGGTCAGCACAGTAACACTAGTCATTGGTAACAAATAGTGAGACTCCCAGCTGATTCATGGAAACTCCTCGATCCTGGGGTGGCGTTCCTCCCGCCTCCATCTTCGGTGGCCCACTCATATAATCAAGCCGAAGGGACTCTATGTTTAAAAAAGCATTTGTCAGCATTCTCAATCCGCGCTGCTCTGAGCTTCGCGCACTCTTCTCATTTATCGAATTTGAAATGCAGTGCAAAGATCCTGTTCTTGACCGGGCTATTATGCCTTGCTCCCATCAGCCTGAGGTTCGTCCGATGTTGAAAGATTAGCGTTTCGGAGTACAAATACCACCGTGACATTACTTAAGCTCTGTAAGCTAGGTTATAGCTTGCGGTCTTTGCAAACATCAATCTAAAACTTAAATACGACCAGTGACTACACACGAGTTCCTGGTCTACCCAGTATTTTGTTTTTCTTTTGCTGATTCTCCTGTGCAAAAAGCACAGCCATACTAGCGGCCCTCATGAAAGCAATCACCACTCACCGGTTTCTGCCTCATCGTATACTGAGCTTTGCTCTCGGCAGACCGCTTGGGGTGGGTGCGCGAGTCAAGGATGTCCCCATTCCAAGCATCATAGATAATGAGGTGCTGGTCAAAGTGCATGCCGTTGCCCTGAATCCAATTGATTTCAAGAACATCGATTTCATTTCTCCCCGGAATTCTGCAATTGGCTGTGACTATGCGGGCGAGGTGGTTAGGGTCGGAAAAACATCGGGACAGCGCTGGAAGGTCGGAGACAGAATCGCTGGCTTCGTTCATGGTGGCCTGTATCCCGATGTTGGCTCATTCGCAGAGTACCTTAAAGTTGACGGAGACTTGGCCTGGAAGGTGCCCGAAGCAATGAGCTTAGGCGAAGCCAGCACCTACGGAGTTCCGGCAGCCACCGCGATGCTGAGCCTCGCGTACCTCGACATTCCCTGGGCAGATATTGAGAACGGACGCACCTTTGAAGGTGATCAACCAACCATTCTCATTTACTCGGGAGGATCGAACGTTGGTCTCTTTGCCACGCAATTAGCGAAGAGAGCAGGATACAAGGTGGTGGCGACGGCCTCGCCCCGTTCTTTCCACCTTGCAAAACAATACGGTGCAGATGCAGTATACGATTATCGGTCCTCATCATCCATCGGAGAAATCAAGAATGCGTTTCCAAACATTACGAGAGCTCTGGACTGCTTTTCTGAAGGCAGTTCGGCCGCCTTTTGTGCTGATGTACTACAAGAGGGCAAAGTAGTCACGCTTCTTGACCAAGGAAAGCCGAACAAGCCAAACGTGTCCTACAGATCCCTCATGGTTTTTACTGTCTTCGGTCGAGAGTTTCAGATGATGGCGCCCCTCGGCCCCGTGTTCCCGGTGATCCCGTCAGATGGCGACGTCATCCGTCAGTTTTATGCTACTTTGTCAACACTGAGCCTCGACGTTATCAGACCTCCACCCGTCACAACAGTTAAGGGCGGTTTCAAAGGAGATCTTTGACAGTCTTGAAAATATTCGAAAGGGAGAAGCTCGAGGCACAAAGCTTGTCGTGGAGTTTGAGGAGTTCGATTAATTGAAGAAACTAATCTCTCAATCATTGCTGTTATCATTGAGGACCTGTACATCTTATTCCTGTTTCCCCCTTTCGAGCTCCCCTGCATGCGTTCTCGGGAAGATGACAATTCCATTTTCTCGTCGAAAACTAATCGTTGGCTTATTTATCCAATTCGCGGGAAACATACCAAATTGATTGAGTTATCTTGGCCGATTACAGTAATACTGTCAAGGGTATCACATTTAGACCTACAAACTAGAGGTACTTACATCATCACGGCCAGATGCAGGGCAGCGAACGCTGGCTCGTGGAGCTATTGCTTTGATGCTAGCTTAATACTAAGTGATCTATAAAACTCTACAGCAGCTTATAACCTGTCCAATACCATAAAACTAATGTGTAGCTTGTTACGGACATTGATTTCCAGAACCAGTCAAGGAGTGTGGGTAGTTGCACTATCTTACAACCTGTCGTGAAGCACTTCCTATAATGGGAATAATCATAGGCCTGCAAGGGAAGGTTCCGAGTTAACGTATATAAACGAGCTTGCCAGGCTTAACGTTTGATATTTGCTACTAACCCATGCTGAGATTTTTACTTATCATCATCGACACTCCTTAGAGTAGACTTGGGAAGGGACTGACCAGGAAATAAGTCGAATTAAATAAATAATACAAGAAGTTCACTATGGTATAATACAAAAAATTGGATTTTCCACTAGGAACTGTACCAGGTAATACTTTTTATAAAATCCAATTATAATACTTGGTCGATTATAGAAGTCTTTACTAAATTACCAGTTAGAGAAGATTTTTTTGACTTTCAACAGATATAATGGTGTGCAGTAGATTAGTACTTATTTATTCTAGGTCCTCAGTTAATGAATACTGAATATTCTCCAGATCTAGATATATACTTCAAAATCTGAGATATTTTGAGAATTTTTATCTAAGGATTATTATAGCCAGGCTTACTGCCTGAGCCCTACAGCTTTAACTCACAAGCCCCGGTTGCCGTTCTGTCGTCTCTATTCCGGTAAAAAAAAGCAGTCTTTTAGATAACTAAATAAAGCGTTCTCTTTAACCTTTATAACCCTGTTATCCTTGGTCAGGAAATAACTACTACTATCAATAAATATCCAATTGATGTGCACTGGGTTTGATTGATAAATACAAATTATCTGTCCTGTATGCTCACCCAGATAAGCACGTGTGATAGGATCTATTTGTTAGGGTAGCAATAAGGAATTGACTATGAAAAATTATAGATCTATATAATAAAGATGAATATAGTCTATATCTAGCGAATAGACTTGTTCTTAAAAGTTTAGAAGTATATCAATAATCATATTTTTTCTATATCTGTCGGGGAGCTATGGAATAGTATTAAATAATCTGGAAATTTATATAATTATTTTGATATATTATCCTGGAGATGCTAATCACTGTATTAGTTACTTAATTAATCGTCTTCTCGGACAAGGCTTTTGGCAGCATATCCTGCCGGGGTTCCTCAACGGGAGACATTTGAAGTTCAAGTGCTGGACTCGTTTGGTATCAAGGAATGATATTATCATAGCAGTTCAACAAACACCATACCTGATTCACTGTTCTATATAGGCTTATCGACTGGCGATGACAGACTTAGTTACAAGTAGGCATTAAGGGTCTGTGTTACATTGTCAACATCAGAAAGTAGATTCAAAAATATTATTCTTGTCCCTTGAATGGTGTCATGTAATAGATCAACAGCGACAACCAGCATGTGGCCTGTTCAATAGTCAACAACGTCGCAGAATATTAGAAATCTCATGTGCCGTTCAGAATCGGTCCTCGTCCTCATTGAGAAGGTTATAATCTGCAAGGTGATTTAGTGACTCTGCTACCACCAACGACTATAATTTAACAAGAGCAGGATCATTACAACTTAGTAAATATATTTAAGACTATTTGATTGCGGGAAGTACAGATAACAAGCCTCACTTATTTTCTTCAAATAGGTGGTTTCTCTAATTCTAGGCAACCAAGCAGCCTCGCCATATCTTAGGGTCCGAGTAAATCCGTTACCAGATAGCTCAGTCCGTCTGTTTTACTCGCAACTTCACTGGCAGCGGCGTCTTCACCCAGACCGCGTATGTCTCCTGATCCTCCCAGCGTCCGAGGCGGCCCTCGGGCTGCAGATCAAAGTGGTACAGAAGTTTGCCCAGAATGAGGACGATCTCCATGCGGGCCAGATTCTGGCCGATACAATCCCGCGGGCCTTGCAGGAACGGCTGTGTAGCATGTCGCTGGTCTTTCTCGAAAAAGTCATCCGGCGAAGATGAAGACGGCTGGCGTGACTTGAGCCAGCGCTCAAGGTGGAATGCCTGAGGGTCGGTGTAGTTTTGTGGTGAGACATTGGCAGCCCATTGCATGTAGGAGACAACAGTCTGTAATTCATGGTTAGCGTAACAGAGTCTAGATGATCCCATTTTGCCCGCTCTGGGCGACAGCAGATACAGCAATAACGAGAAAGGTGCCCACAGAATTGACTTACTCCCTCTGGGAAAAATTCCCCATTGATGGTATGACCCCCAATTGGAACGAGTCGAGTCAACCCCAGGGGCACGGGGGAGGTGAGGCGGATGCCTTCCTTAATCGCTGCTTCTAGCATGGGCAGCCTGAGCAGGGTGGACACGTTTATCTGGCTGGTAGAGGGAAATTCGCCGCGCACTTCGCTGGTCACGCGGTTCAATACTGTTGGATTTTGGAGGAGGTGAAAGAGAATGCCAGTGATGGCGGTTTGCAGGGTGTGGCTCCCCGCAACGATGAGGGTTGCAGCGTTCACTACCATCTCGCCTTCCGAGATCTCTTGGCGGGATTGCTGCACAAGATGTGCCAGGAAGTCTGGCCTAATGACCCCAGCGGCACCACTGACTTTGGCATCGCTTTCCAGTTGCTGTAACCGGCGCTTCACCTTCTCTTTAGTTGTGGCTTGGTGCTGGGCCATAAGGATACCCGCAGATTTGGGGAGGCGCTTGACGAGATAGTTGAACAGCCAGGGATAGAAGCGGCAGGAGGCTAGCTGGACTTTGGCTTTGAGCGAGTGAACGAGTTGGCCCACCCATTCGTGGTAGCGCTGGTTGTCCAAACAGCCGAAATCTTCCCCGAAGCTTAGCTTGCAGACAATATCAAAGGTGCAGAAGCTGATCCACTCTTGCAGATCAACACTCTGGGCAATGAGTTTGCTCTGGCACTGCATCTGAGCGATCATCTTGTCGACGTAGCTGGCAACGAGCGGCTCCTGGGCGCTCAAGGCCTGGCTGCTGAAGGCGGCTGCATAGGCCTTGCGGAGTCGCGTGTGGTCAGCGTCACCCGCATCAAGGATGCTAATGGGCTGCCCTGGCCTTGGAGGTGCCTGACGGATGGGATCTTTGGGAAGTGACTTGAAACCCCCGCCGCTCGGTCGGCGCTGGTAAATGTCTTTGACAGTGTCGGGGTTGATGAAGGACACCTCATTCGGGGCCACGCGGACGGTCTCGCCATAAACCTCGTGAAAAGCTTTGATTTTATGCGCTAACTGGCCATTTCGGAATGCCAACATATATGGCACACGGGTTAATGCCCAGAGAAGAGGCCCATTGTATCGAGATAGGGGGTGGAAGTAGAGCCGCTTGAGGGCCAGGAGGATGGGAAACTAGAAGGCGTGGGTCAGAGAACGGGACAATTTTCGGTCCTTGTGGTTGCAGTGGGCGCGGCTGATCTTACTAGGAGGACAGTGATTAGAATGGCATTGACAAACGAAGGGGCTGCCATGATCGTACGCAGGACGTAGCAGAAGCAATGAGTAAGAGGCGCGGGAGACAGCCACGGGCACAAACCGTCCAAAATGGCTTGATATCAATGGTTTAATATAAGCCGCCGCCAAGGGAGAGGTCCTAAAAAAAGTGTGGAATGCATTGGCGTCTCCACTGAAGCTTAACTACGAATGAGGCCCAAGCCATTGACAAGCCTTCGTAGGGAGCATTTCATGCGGATGAGAATTTAGTGTAGATGTTAGCGTAAATGGGGGGGGGAGGGGGGGTTTCCGCGTGTCCCAGGGGCTCTGCCATCCACTCAATACTACTATCACATATGAATGGGGAAGTGATGAGAGAAGTGATGAGAGATCACGGTGTACCCTTGATGGATTGCCCCGTGCCCAATTGTCGTCTGTCAGGCAGCAGCAGTAACCTACAGTGTCAAAGAACCGACCGTAGAAAGGCACTGAGGGGGCGGGGGGGTTCCGTAAGCTAGGCGGTAAAAGGGTGAATTCAAACAAAGAAAATGCAGGCAACATACAAAACAGTTACATGGGGCAATACATCGCACCTGGGAAGTGTCGATCTCTACATGGGCTTCGTTTGGGCGATGTGCTGAAGTGGGAAGGCGAAGACACAGCTGGCGATCCCAATTCCAACGGTGTGGAAGGGGCTGGACGTGGCCTCTGCACCCGATTTGTTCCACGCGCTCCACTGCCTCGTCGACAAGCTGAGCCACGACAACTTACCGCTGGCTCACTGTACCTTCCGCTCGGAGTCCACTTCCCCGGCTATACTGTGTAAGAAGCTAGCAGTGGCAGAGAGGGAATGTTTTGACAGGGAAAGTACAATCAGTTAAGCTCACGTCACGCTATGATAGGGTACTAAATGAGTACTAGTCTCAAGCTGCGCCGGTTGGATCAAAATTGACCTTGGAGTCGGGCATGTTGTGGGATACCTAGAATATAGCATCCCCGTCCTGTGCCAGTCAAGGGGGCCAGAACCTGTCATTTTGGTGCTTGGCTGTCAGGGCAGTTGGTGATGAGTTAACCTTTCGGCTCCGTCCGGCAAGCGTCCACAGCGCCTCCATTCAAATGGTATCCTCTTACCCACTTGAGATTGTCTCACGTTATGTGAACCCCTGCTCCCTAGGTTCGAACCAATGGAACTAGCAGAACTGAGCCCTCCTAAGCGAGGCACGGAGCCTGCGCATCCCATGCCGATCGTTTGCCCGATCTGTTAAACGCTAAATAAGTCCGTCCAGGTTCAGGCGGGGAATGTGGCCGGGAAACCAGGCTGGCAGCACAACTACTATGCCAGCTAAGTTTAAGGTGTGCTTTTAAGAGTGAGGCAATCTACACGCGGCCCGGAATATCACATACTGGATGATAAGATTGTATCCTCTAGACTACCAACAACCAACATGAGGTACTTAGGTAGTTGGCCAGAGTCAGGTATGACTTGGGTCTGGATGGGCGAACTTGGTTTGGTCGACAGCCTTGCCTTCCGCAACCCAGACCTCCTCATATCCCACCCTTCTGACAACGGAGGCCTTGTCAATCAATGTGACCTCGCTTGGCTCCACTACCTCCACATAGTATGGATCTGCGCGCAGGCGGCCCAGAATGTCCCAACTCTCCAACAGAATCTCCGCATGTCCATCAAACGACTCCATCACGTGACCACCACCGGCGTGCTCCTGACCTAGGTACTGCTTGGCCACATCCGGCAGGGTGTGGAACTGGTTGAAGGAAGGATGTCAGCAACAGCAGAGCTTTCAAGCATTACTTGACATGAGTCTTTACAGGGCATACCAGAGTATAGCGGTATACCCCATGCCGTGCCAACCAAGTTTTCAACAACTGCGCGTGACTAGTGGTCCAAGTGCTTGTGACGGTGGGAAAAGAGTGAAGATGTCAGCAAAACCTCGCCAGTGTAGTTAGTTGTGGATGAACTCAAAGCCCAGCTTACTGGTGAAATTCCTCCATGGTGAGGGACGGATGCCGCTTGACATAAGTGTCGAAGCGAATCAAATGCTTGCTAGTCGTCATACTCGTAGAAGACCTGCAAACAGAATTTGTGCGCTTGAGAGCTAGGAATGGGAGAAATCAGCGCCAAGGTAGGGGACGTGAGAGTGTCGTGAAGTCAGGGTATCGCGACCCTTATCTTATGTGGTTTCCTGCGAGGACAGAATTAGCACGAAGTAGCCACCTGTCTGTGCCTACTGGTCTGGAATACCCACAGCAGAGGTTGTACCTGACAAGCCAATCTGCCTTGTTGCCCACCTTTGAGTAGCGTTGCGGGAAGTGCGAAGGTTTCCCGCAGTGCTGGCTCACTCAGTAGGATGTAGGAGGAGGAGGGGGTGTACAGGCACTAGCGAATAGATCCCGGCGTAATTGAGCAGGAACACTACACTCTCTGTGGACTAAATCCCCCTCCCAATACCAGGCTAGTGCTCTCCTGGTGGAGTAAGAGCTAGCCGACGGTCTAAGACGTATCGCGTCGAGGTCTAGTATAAGCTATCTCGTCTAATATAAGGTCAAGGATGATTTTGACACCATTCTCTGAATATACTTGGCCCAAAATGCGTCTTTAAAACCGATGCATCTGCTTATCATTGGTAGGCATGGTATTTGGAATACGACTAGCGCTGAGGATTTCGTATCCATCTGCTGCAGAATTGGCACAAACAGAGTTAAGACAGTACCTAACAAACTTCCCTGTACCGGTGGATCAGATCAATGACTTGTTAGCAATGTATACGCAAGGCCGAGGGTGATATACCTTATTCCTTATGCCACGCGTCAATTTGAAGGTGTAAATCGCCACTCCATGCGTAGAATGCTGCATACTAACTGGTGACTGCTGAAAGTCGCGACCCTGGCTATCTGGAAAGTGGATGAAAGAACAATCTATAGAGGACTGTGTACAATAGCTGGAGATTAAATAGACCGGATCGCAACAAGTAAAGGCGCTCCGCTGCTCACCCAGGCACAGCACAATATTATTGACCCATACATCGCCGTGAGCATACAATTAATCAATGAAATTGTGATGGGAGTATATCTCCCAGGCCACCATTGAGTTCTGATCTTTGTATTTCCTGTTCATGTGATTGGTCTCTGGTGAGTAAGAAGCAAGCTACACTCGAAGGAGAAGGATGCTAGGCTGGCAATTAGTATTTGCGCCAGTTTCCCCCAGATGGGTACGTGACCGAACTACACAGGACGCTATGGGTTTCGGTAATGGAATTCGGATTTCAGCAGGCTGAAAGCAAGTACTGCCTGTCACAAGCTGATCAATCAATCGAGCTGTGGGTCTTAAGCTAGCTGAGCAACTAGTCAGCCAGATCTTGGGATCAGATGCGGGATGGCACTAGCGGTGGCCCGGCGGAGTGTCTGGACATACGAAATGAAGATACTGGTTGCAACTGAGGTACGGCCCTTCAGCAGCTCCACTAGAACCGCTTGCACACCGATATACCCTGTACCAATAGTAATCTGTAATCTAATGCATCTTCCCGGTGGGCCCATGTTCAAGGACAGGGTTGGAGCACTCAGGCCCAAACCTTTTTGAGGGTGCCTTCCGACAGGTTCTGTTCTGTCAGTTTTATAATGGCTACCCGGCCAGCTTTTGGGTGGCAACATCACGATCTTCTACAGAGATACAGACCGGGTCGGTGGTATTTGGGCGTCGAGCCAGCTGAACAGGGAAATGATAACGCTTTGTACGAGACTGCTTCAGAAAAGTTGCCTGCGGGTGACTACCATCGTAAAACACTGCCTGGAGTACCTATTGTCTGTCTCTAATATTGATTGCTAGTTGCTCCCCGTTGCTTATAGATGGACAATGAACATATTATAGTTTGGCGAGTCGTTTATCAACGGGTTTCCAGATACTCAGTGGCGCCTTCCAGTCCTCCGGGATGGTGGACCTTTCCTTGACAGGTAGTCCTTCCCACCCGGCGGCAATTCTTTCTTCATCCATGCGCCAACGCTCACCTTCCGCCGCAATCCACGGCCCGATACAGCTTGCCGTTTGGGTCACCATTTCCATTGGGAATGTGTGATGCCCTTTGTCCATGACGATATGTTTTACACGAGAATACTGTTGGCCGCCACTACCAGAAAATCCGGCGCCTGCCATTTTGACGGCGTCGCTATGATGTCCTTTTTCGTATAGGCCACTTTCAGTACCACTGACGAATAGAGCCCCGGGTCGAAGGTGGGGTAGCAGACGGTATGCAAGGACATATTCTGGGCGGTAAAACTTCTGTCCATCCAAGAGAGGCCCGAGAATGTCAGGTAGAAAAAGTGCATCATGGGCTTTGCCCACCATCTCAAGGCTAGCTGCTCTCTCACTCTCAGACAAGCCCAGCTGTGTGTGCCCTTCTAAGTTCGCACGAGCAAGTGTAAATGCTTCTTGATGTTTTGTGGTGGTTAGTGTCACTGGGACCTCATTATCCCCCTTATCCTTGTTGGCGTCGGGATGTATCGCAGTTGGTAGATTGCGTAAACCATAACGGGCCCAGCGGTCGAGCACACGTGGATCCCAGCTGCGTAGAGCTCTGCGTATAAACTTTTCTGCTTCTTTCCGAGAGGACCAGATATCCCTTCGCGTCACTGTCAGGTAGACCAGAGTCAGAGCATCGGCATCCCGGTTATCGGGGATCAGGTAGGGGTCCAATAGCGTTAATGATGAGAACAAGCGAGGGTGCATTAGTGATAAAAGTATTCTAAGCTTTGTGAGCAGAGTATCTTGATATGCAACTTTGGGGTAACATACAGCTGCGATCCCCCAGCGCTATGTCCTACACCCATGATCGGCCGTGGCATATCCTCTCGAAAGTGGTTGATCATATGCAAAAGGTCACGGGCATGATCAAACCATGACGCTACCAATACTTAGAGCTCGCTTCATGGGAGGCTAAGGTGGTTAAGAGACAAATATCACTTACTTTCATTGCCCATTATGTTTTCGTTTTGAACCCCACTGGCTCCTTGATTGGCACAATCAGCTATCCAGATTGCTCTGATACGGAAGCCATCCTGCTTGCTCCTAGCCAAAAGGTCTTCCCATAATGGCTCATATAGTTCCTGTTGTGATTCAAATTTAGCTATTGTGAGCGAATTGAATGTGAAAGATTTGCACCGTTCATACCTTGAGAAACCCAACGCCATGCGCTCCGATTATGGTTATATCGCCCTCTTGCGGGTTTTGATTTGTTTTTGGGGTATATTTCTTGATACTAATCTTCACTGGGGCATCCTGGGGATATGTTGTTCTGGGGTACTCCCGGATATATTGGGCCTGGATGACATGCTCTGTAACGATAAAAGAAGAATCCATGGCTACTGTAGCCGGTGGGATTGAAGTAAGAGCACAAGGGCACACTTCTCGCAGCAATGGGTTTATAGATTGTATCCAGGTTTTAAGGTGTTAAACATTTATACCTATTTGTGTCAGTTGGCGATTCAAACACTCCCAGGCAACATCACTAGCTACACATAGTGGATTAAGTGCAATCATGACCGGCTCTCAGTGCGAATTGAAGAGTGGGTATTTCTAGTTCCACAGAGTACCAAAAGAACCATTATTTGACTCGTAGCATTTCAGCACCCCAACAAACGAAACCAAGCTGAAGACGGCAAAAATACGGGCCAAGCGCATCTCTACGCGATTCATCTTAAATTGCTGTGGGTTTTACTTTCCGTCTTCGACCTTCTTTGTGGAACATTCCCACTTCCATAGTTTGGATAGGTGGGACCTCGCTGCGGGTCTCGCATGATACATACCCGCGGGCAGGCCAAGATCGAGATTCTCAATCTTGAACACTGGCGTGTAGTAGCGTTCGAATCCGGTGGATACTTCCGCGGTAATCAAGCATCTTAACCCGAGTAGTCTAGAAATGGATCTTTATCTACTGGTTCACTGTCAGTAACAAGGATTGTACACAGTGGCATCTTTGACTATCGAATTTGGATGAATGAAATCACGCTCTGCCGCTATCTCCGAGTCTCTTCGCACTCTGCGAGCTGCTGCGCCTTATCGACTCCTGCAGCCATGTAGGAAATCCCCGCAGCAAACTCAGCCACCAAAGCTTGCCCGGTATAATTATTTGGCCACTCTTCCCAGACAGGATCTGTTGGCTGATTGCGTGGCTCACCGTTTCCACTGCCAGTACAGGGCGTTTAAAGCGAGCTCCACCCTTCATCAGGGGCTTGATCATGGGGGTCCCCACATACAGTGGATGGAAAACACTATCGCTATTTGTTAGCATTCATCTATTATTCTTCCCAGGGGCGGCCTGAAATGCATGCTTACCTCGTCTTAACCCCATCGGCATTGTACCAAACTTTCAATTCTTGGCCTATGGCTTCGTGAAATGCTAGCGCACTTGCTTTTGAGCAGGCGTAGCTAGCCATGTTACCCGCACTCAGAAAGCTGGCCATACTAGCCAGAGTGACCACATGGCCGTGGTTGCGCTCGATCATCGCGGGGAGGAACTCCTTCACCGTCCAGTAATGGGCCATGGTATTAACCTCAAAGGTCTGGCGAACAGCGGCTTCTGTTTGGTCGAGGATAGGAGTAAAATGCAATACGCCAGCATTATTGACAAGGACTGTTGGGTGTCCATGTACAGCACGAATTTCATTGGCTGTTGCGTGTAGGGCAGCAGTTGAAGTGATGTCAGTCTTATAGAAAAAGACGTCGGGGGCTGAGAGTGTTAGTTATTAGTTAGTTTGTTGATTTTGTAATACGATTGAAACTTACGAAGCTCGAAGGACGGCTGCTGGATATCAAGGATAATGACTTTAGCGCCATGCTGAGCAAGCTCCTCCATCACTGCTTTCCCAATGCCGCTGCACCCCCCTGTGACTAAGACGAGCTCTTGGTCATTCTGCCACGGCCGGCTCGCTAAGTTGTTCAGTGACCATGCATTCAGGGCTCTATTTACTTGGCGCAGTGTAATGTAACCCAATAGTGCGGCTAGGGATTTCGGGAGCAGGGAGAGAAGTAGAGTCTCCCGTGTGCTTTCAGAAAGGTTTCTGAAAGCTCCATTAAGCACCCGCTGTAAAGCTGTGGTTAGGGACATTGCGAGTGTTTT